TTTGCAAAGATCCTCCGCTGTTGCTTTTTTGGGGTCTCTCGGCATTCAGAAAGTCCAATTGGCGTGTTTGCGTGCAGTATTCTGTCAACTAATAGACATACTGTAGATAGAACCCCTATCATACCACTTACTGTAATGCTGTGCTGTACAAACTGAAACTAATGTAATTTGCATGCAGCAGAATCGGTGAAGAACAATCAGGCTGGACGATGGATGCATTGCATTGTGCTACTGTATGAAAGGGGATACGGTAACGGATACGTATGTACATAGTAATTTCATTAACGGAGTGTAGATACGGGGTCGGGTCAGGAATTATGAGTTGCAATTAATTAATTAATTATTGAACGCACGGGTGGATTCTATTCTATTCTGCGCTGAGTTGTGCGACAGGGGGGCATATTACAGTACTGGACCTGGTCTTAGGTGAGCGGACAGCTCAGTCTATGCTCAGTTATGCTATCGCTCTTATCGTGTTTCAATTTCCCAAATGATTCTATTTTCATTTCTACGTAATATTCTATTTTGGCCCATTGCATTACTTTACTAATCCCCGCTCTCCCTTTTTTCTCCATCGTTTTAGTTCCAGCTCAGTCAAGACGAGACGAAAAGAATAGAACAGGTGTATCATGTTTATCGTATTTGTCCATATCAATCTGATGCGGTGTAAGAGAATGATATTATAATGGAGCCAATTGACTGGCTGCTTCGCTTCGCTTGAGGGAGAAAGAGAGGAGCCTCTCTCGTCTCTCTTGCTTCAGGTTGAGGTACCTGGGGTCAATGTACCTCGACTGACGTATCTACATTTTTTTCACCCTCGTACGAGAAGAGACAGACCTTTTCTTGCCTAGCCTGCCCTGCCCTGGCCTAGCCTAGGGGGGGTTCAGGGTGTGTGTGATATGAGGCGGGGCGTTCATGTTCATCAGGCTGATGGGCGTGTCTTCACTCCCTCCCCTCCGTTTTGTGAACAGCACACCCCCTGTATCCAGCAAGTGGTGCCCTGTGTCTTGCGCCCTGGCTGCCCGGGCTGGGCTGCTTCACTTCAGATTACCTTTGACTTTGGCTAACTAGGTGAGAGAGCTGGGCTGGAGGCACAAACATCAGGGAATACAAAAAGGGCAGCGACCTCCCTCTTCCCCACGACCAAAAAGATCACTCTCATCATCGACTCAACAAAGAATCTTATCTAGCATTCACTGCAGTCTAACTCTAGCTCATACTCTCTTACACACGAGCACTTATACACACAACAACTCTATCTACTTACAACCGAGCTACTACTACTCGGTTATCTCAACAACTACTCGAAGCCTTTTATACTTCAACTACAACAAACAAACCATCAAGATGCCTGCTCAACGACCTTCGCAGCTTCCTCCCTGCCCCGGCCCTCCTCCTAGCCGCCCTCTGCCTCCTCTGCCCAAGCGAGGTTAAAGCAGATCGACAATTATTCGACGGCACACCAACTCTACTCTACAAACAACATGACATAACATCATCATCGTCATGATACTCTCTACCGCTCTTGGCTTCAGTTACACAGCATCAACAAAGGAACCAACCAGCTGCATCTTATGCAACATGCGAACTCCAACTCGAACCCCTCATGCATCTAATTAATCAACATGATACTTGGTTCTGAGAGCTGCAAGTCAACTGCAACACTACCACTACTACATCACACACATCACATCATACCTCGACTGGTTCAGCCGTCGAATCAATCAACCTGCTTCCACCGGAAAACTTCAGCAACCACCACAAGCTGTCCCTTTTGGCTGGACCGACCGGACTCTTTCTTCACCTTCACTTCTACCGCGTGCGCCTTTCGCAAACAGCGCATCAACGTTACAATACCCTTTACTACACTATCTAATTATCTTACACCATTTTTGAACCAACTTCTCTACTTCGTTCAACAACTTATTTGGGAGGACTATCAACATCACTTTTTACTTTTATGTTCCACGGTCTTTCAGGAACTGTATCAATAGACAGGGCATTATCACGGCGTCTCAACATCATACACCACACTTCTATCAGTGTGAGTGTTTTGGACTTATTGGTTTTACGATGAATACGTCGGGTTGGGAACATAGAATTATCATTGGGGAGAGGGAAAGCAAACCTCGAATCCCTCAGGAGCAAATGGGAATTATGTCCACTGATCACTCAGTGTTGACGGGAATGGAGAACGAGATACCATGTTTATTATTACTACAATCAATGCAATACGCAATGAACTACCACACACACAATCATCTTCTTTTAATCATCAAGTGAATTATCATGTCTTGGCCCCTTTCTCTGCCCTGATTGAAAATATTAACTTTTTAGTTCCTGGCTTTTGTTTCTTGGCGAACCGATGGATCCTCGTTAGTGAGGCCTTGTTAGGTATTGGAAGCGAAAGCGAAGTGCAATACCCATACCCATCCATCCATTCTTGATTATTGCGTTACTCAAAATTAGGTACAGACGGGACTCTCTAACCCCTGTTCTGCAAATAGCGGCCTCGTGATCGTTGCTTTACCCTTGCTCATTAAGTTGATTACTCTACTCTGCCTGCTCTGACTCTCCCTTGCGTCGCTATTATCTTACCATAAGCAAAGAGAACTAATTAATAATTAACGGGATTTACAATTGCCGCTCGCTTTCATTCCCAACATGAGCAACCCCGTCGCCTTTCGCCCTTTGAACCACCTGCGCCGCGCATTTGCAGCGTCGATCAGAACGGCTGGTGCTCGCCTCAACGACAACTGAAACTCGCAGAGTCACCCCTTAAACAAGGGCTTTTGAATATCCATATCCATATCCATTGCACTACAGATACAGATATAGATACACACATCATCAACTCATAGGGGATAATAATAAATATCTAATAGTAATGTTAAAACGTCTAATCTATGTTACTTGTCGGACCCGACAACGCCGTGGCTTGGAAAAAACCTCCTCCTATTCCCAAACTTGGAACTGTCTCCGGAGCGAGGAACGATCGATTGACAGTCGTCATCCTTTTAGCTTATTTAGAGAGAAAAAAAATGGCTTTTTTGTTACCAGTTTCACGCAAGAGGCTAATTTGATCTCCCCCTAATTCACCTTAGTAGCTCTTAGCTTCAGTAGCAAGGCAAAGCACCTGTCTTTGTCACAAGTTTTGGATCGGATGGATGGCCGAGTCCCAATTAAACAGATGGGCTGAAATAGTGTTTCTGTCTCTTTCAAAGACCGTCCCTGAATTGGCGTGACGCCAGCCGGATCTCCGTTTGTTTGCTGGCCGAGTCTCTACAGTCACTGGATGGTTGGTTTGGCTTGACTTGTTAGTGGTGGTTTAGATCCTCCCAAGTCCGAGGCCCAGGGCTACTCTAGTCAATGTTTGCTCCTGTCACCAACGTGGTGGTATGAGTATTGATTGGTACCCCAAGTTTCCCAGCTGATGAAGAAGAAAACCCACGTTCGTGGTACTGGAGCTTTTTGGGCTTGCACTAGTTGCCTTGTTTGCTTTGCTTGTTTGCCTGCCCGTTCTCTTGTTCTTGTTTCTCACAGGAACACTAATAGTGCATCAAGGGATCGTCAGTTGCCCGAAAAAGGTAATCCTGCATCTTGATCTGGGATGAAACAAGCGGTCGCGGGTTTACTGCAGACTGCAGCCACAGGGCTGCCTATCTTTGACAGTTTTGGCGTCCTCTAATTACCATGTGGCGAATATGGTTAAAACTTTTCTTCGTCACTGGAGACTTTGCTCAATCGGTGCCTGTCTCAGAGAGCGTCGATCATCTCCATGGCTCGTCTGCCCGTCTTGTTACCGCTCTTGCTTCAGGGGTCCGGGTGAAGGTTACCGAAGGGTGGCAGGTGGCTGGATAGTCACTCTGACTTACCTAGAGATAGTCACTTGCAATTAGGAGTTGGTTGACGATCCTTTGTCACCGGCTCGTGGCAGTTACGCAATCGAGGATGCGTGTAATTACCAATCAATCTATTGTACCTTGAAGCTAGTGAGCTTCAACCAATTATCGATGCCTCAGACCGAATTCGCATTTAGGTTTTGTGGCATTTCCTCCGGTGTAGGTTTGTTGGTGAGACGTTCAAATTGATGTGGCTCAAATCGACCACTAAAGTGATCTACAAAACATACACACATAACGTGTAAGCCGTAAATATGTAATCTTTTCAGCTGTCATGTTTGTCACTGCAACTGTCACAAAACCCTGAACGGTCTTGACGGTTTCGTCTTTTGGGTTGGTCCAAGACTGAACCAACAGTCAACGTTGGTATGTAGATCAGAGGGTGGACCTGAAAGTGTAACCTGAAAAGGGAATATGATCAGACAGCTTCAGTTCTAGAGTCAGAGTTAACTGACTCAAATGGCCACAGCAGAGATAGCGAACATAACAAGAAAGAAGTCTTTTTCAAAAGCCATCACGAATGATATTCCTATTCGAGAACATCTTCTTCGGCCCCGAACGTGGTCAACATGTGGCCGGCATGGGGGAGGCTTGATCGTTTTAAAGCCCAGACTGTTTGAGTGGAAACAAGACAAAAAAAGAATAGATAAAATGGAATTAAATGGTGTATTCTGTGAAGGACAATTAAAGTTTGCAAAGCACATTTTGTCACTTACACCTCTGGTGGATATCTGATAGCCGCTTTCACAATCTCGTCACGTGGCTACGCGCTGTCACATATCGCATCGCCTACTCAAGCGGGTCTCCTGTAGGTTAGCTGGAAATTCCCCCACTGAGGCTCTTGAGCTAACAGCCCGCATCAAAGATCAAAGAGCCCAGACAAGGCTGGCGTTTTGAAGGCTTCAACAAGTTCCCCGAGTCTAGGATCATCAAAGTTTTGACTTGTAGATGTTGGCGTATCGCCACGAGATCTATCACAAACCTTCTTTTCCCCTCCCGTCTATCCTGTAACTCCCGCGCGCTTCTTCTTTGACGCCGACTCAGACTCACAGTTATACCCCAACAACTCCGGGATAGCTTCAACCCTGGCCCGCCGCCATGATGGATCTCCATGTATGGGGCTCAGCCTTTGGCTTGCCGTCCATTGATCCCGAGTGTCTTGCTATCATCACATACCTGCATAGCTCTAGCCCTGCATCAGACTGGCGCTTGATTCCTAGCAACGACCCTTCCGTCAGCCCGTCCAGTATGGCTTATCCCGTCCCGCTGTCTTACATTGTCTGGCCCGAACCTTGTTCCATTGCTAACCGTTTCATCCAGATACACTTCCCGCGCTTCATCATGAGGGCGTATGGGTTTCTGGCTTTGCACCTATCGTTCAGTACTTGACCGACAAGTCACTTGGCGACAACTTGGACGCTGGCCTAACCCCCCTCCAGCAGGCTGATCGTGTTGCGTACACTGCCTTCTTGTCTGCCCATGCTGCTCCCTTGTTGGACCTCTCGCTCTACGTCTCAGCGGCCAACTGGTCAGCTACCACTAGACCTGCCTACAGCACTCTGTTATCATTCCCATTGACATGGACAGTTCCACCGCTGCTCCGTGCGGAGGCGGTCAAGCGTGTTGAGCATCTAGGCTTTGCCGATATTGATACCGACTTTGATCCCAATGGAAGTCTCCACCTATCATCAGGAAGAGATGCCTTGCCAGAGACTTTCCGCAGACATATTCCTGCGCGGACAAAGAAGACAATCCACGAGGAGATGACCCCTGAGCAAGCTGTGCTCATCCGTCTCTATGGCATCACAGAAGACTGTCTCTCTGTAATGGATGATCTCCTCAAGGATGGATCTGATGAGAAGGCATATGGTTTCTTCAAGGGCACCGAACTCTCATCTTTGGATTGTCTAGCCTTTGGCTACCTTGCGCTGATGCGTGACGCTCCTGTGCCGAGATCTTTCCTGAAAGACTGGATCATGAAGAAAGCCCCGAGGTTGTCCAAGTTCGTTGATGATATCAAGACGAGACATCTGCAGGAGTCTAGCCCCTTACCCTGGGTTGAATCAAGTCAAAATACTGCATTGCGCATTGGGAGCCGGACTTTGGATAGCATCCTTCACAATGTCCCTGGACTCGGCGAAGAGTACGCGACTGAAGTACGAAAACGTGCTGAAGGAGGCATCACCGGCATCGACAGCAGGTCTCTCATGCTGGCCCTGAGTCTTCTTGCGACAGGCGCTGCTCTTGGATATGGTTACCACACATACAAGGCCATGCAGCCTTTTGGATCAAGGATACAAGTCTGGCAATCATACCAGAACAAATCCAAGTTGAGCCAGTTTGGTGCCCTTGGTTCCATGTTGGGCAGCGTGCTGGGAGGACCGGCAGAGGCACCTCGTCCTTCTCACTCGTCGAACCAAGCTCGCTTCGTCGAAACCGATACGGAAGTCGATTAAGAAAAATAAAAAAGAATATTGTAACATTATTGTACATTTTAATAGACAAACAAACTACCAAACATCCTCCTATTTGGAGGGAAGACTCTAGAAAATGTTTCCTTCTCTTTGTCTAGATGCTTTAGACTATCGTTATGTTGCTCGTGTCGTGTAAGAACCGTGTCTAACACAGCGGTATCGTGGGTTTCCATCCTTGATGGGTTGTTTTATATCTGTCTGATCTCTTTGCCCACCATCTCAGGGCGTTCAATCTCCCACTCGTCTCTCAACACCGCAAAAGTAAGATCTGTAACTAGTAGACTCTGACCAAGACTCCACACAAGCGTGATGGCATAGAAGAAATTGGCGTTGCCACTTCCTGCATAGATCCAGAGATGGTAGAAGGCTGGCCCAAGGAATGTTGCATACAGCAGCGTCGATGTAGTGACGAAAGCATACCGCATGAGTGGAAAAACATGTCGGAAGAGCGGAACTGTAGACAGAAACAGACTGGCATCTGCAAGCGAAGGATAGGGCTTGAAGATGGAGAAAGTACCCAGAAGAATGACCAACACAGCCAATGGCTGGGGGCGCAGACGAATAGAGAGCGCCGCGGGATAAGATGCGAGATGCAGCCAGAAAACACCCAGGAAGAAGGCTCTGAAGGAGTCAAACATCTCAATGAAGAAGTACCACCACAAGCCAACATTGGGTGTCAGGTCCGACAAGGTCAACTGAATGCCGTATGTGCGAGCGAGGAACTCCCAGGAGTTGTTGGCAAGCAAGAAGGACATGCCCAACAATGACACAATGCAGCCAAAAACAACAGCTACGTTGGTAGCGGCAAACTTGACAGACGATGCAACCCGGCGCTTCTCAAGTTGACAGTCATATGCAAGGAGAATGACCGGGGGCAGGAGAAGGATAGGATACATCGACAGATAAGAGGCGAACGATAGAGCGACCATGGCGTTGAAGGGAGAGCCTTGAATAGCCTTGGTGATGGCTAGAAGAATAGCGCAGTTGGTGAAGACGCCTGTTGATCGTCCGATACATGTCGCAATGGTGTATGGGTTGAACAAGAAGCTGCAGCTAGTTAGTACTGTATTCGTAACCGGAAACTGATGTCTCCCTTACCCAGTAGCAATTGCAGCACTGCCAAACCTATTCGCACGGCGCGGCGATTGGAACAACCTCGAGTTGCTCGCCACCCCTGAGTCGGCAATCTTGTAAAGAGCATCGGCGCTCAGGAGGTCGACGGCGATGTAAAGTAGATGAGTGAAGATGGGCCAGCTCTTTACATCGGGGAGTAGAGAGAACAAAGGCAACAGCAGTGGCGCCTGGTGGAAGACACCACCTTCGTATGGAGAAACATTATTCGTATATAAGAAGAGACCCTCCTGTACTGTAGAATTGTAAGCCTTTGACTCTTGAAAATCGTCATGCAACGTGGGGTTGCTGCTTACAGCGCTTGAAGCTTGTGACGGGGGTTGATATCTCGACGCGACCGGTTAGTAGATCGGGGAGGCCTGGAAATGCAAGAAAGAGAATGAGTCGGAGCAGGGCAGCACCGGCGAAAACGCTGGCTTTGCCTCGCAATGTCATGTTGTCTGACATTGCATGCTCCAAGCGAATGTTGTAGGTATAAACAGCTGAAAGAGGTTCGCGATACTGTCCCTCTAGGATAGGTAGATTGGAGGCCACTTGGCGGGTTGAGCTCCCTGCTTGGCGGCCCCTCCACCTTCGGGAGAGGGGCCGCTGAGAGAGCCGCTGGAGCTCATCCCGAGACTCCACTGTATTCGCTGAATTGGCGATGCCAGGCGCTGGAAATGCGCTTAAGGGTGCTGAGCATGTCCCCGGGCGGTGAGCGCACCATGAACCAATGATGAGCTTCCAATCGGACCTTAGCCCACATTAGCGTCGGATCAAGGCGGTACAAACTGGCATAAAATTTCACGTAGGAAAAAAAAGTTGAAAGATTGTAGGAAAAAGTGCCCCGCTGGTTTCGCTGCGAGATACAAACCACCTACAAACACCAAATCTTTCAACCACAATGCCTCGGATAAAGAAGAAGGGCCAGACCGGCGCGGCCAAGAACTACGTTACCCGAAACCAGGCGATTCGGAAACTACAGATCAACCTTCCTGACTTCCGAAAGTTGTGTATTTGGAAGGGAATCTATCCTCGCGAGCCCCGAAGCCGAAAGAAGGTTTCCAAGTCTTCTACCAGCTCGACCACCTTCTACTACACCAAGGACATCCAGTACCTTCTCCATGAGCCTCTGCTTCAAAAGTTCCGCGATCAGAAGGTCCTTGAGAAGAAGATCTCTCGTGCGCTCGGTCGAGGCGATGTCACTGATGCCGCCCGTCTAGAGGGCAACGCTGCGCGACCCGAGAAGACTGGAAAGCCTCGCTACACTCTTGACCATGTCATCCGCGAGCGCTACCCTACCTTTATCGATGCGGTGCGCGATCTCGATGACTGTCTGTCAATGCTCTTCCTGTTCGCCAATCTGCCTTCCACCACCTCGGTTCCCGCCAAGATGATTGCCCGTTGCGAGCGCCTGTGCCTCGAGTTCCAGCACTACCTCATTGTGTCGCAGAGCGTTACCAAGTCTTTCCTGTCTATCAAGGGTATCTACTACCAGGCCAACATTCAGGGCGAGGAGGTTCTCTGGCTCGTTCCCTACAAGTTCAACCAGCGCGTTGTTGGCGACGTCGACTTCCGCATCATGGGTACTTTCATTGAGTTCTACATGACCCTACTTGGCTTCATCAACTTCCGACTTTACACTTCTCTCGGCCTCAAGTACCCTCCCAAGTTCGATCAGGCCAAGGATGAGGCTGGTGCTGAGCTTGGCGCTTTCACTCTTGAGGGCAAGACTCTGGTCGGCGCTGACGAGAAGGAGCAGAAGACATTGGAGGCTGCCGAGCACAAGCCTGATCCCAAGGTTCAAGCCGCTGTCAACAAGGTTATCAAGAAGATCAAGGGTGGCAATGCCGACGATGAGTCGACAGATGCGACCGAGAACCAGGTAGAGGGTGAAGACCAGGAGACTGGCGCAATCGACAAGTTTGAGCCCGCAGCTCCTGGTGGCGATGTCCTTCTCCAGCCTTCCAACACTGGAAGCAACCGCAACAACCTCTTCTCCAACCTCACCATCTACCTCTCGCGCGAAACCCCACGACAACCTCTCGAATTCCTCCTCAAGTCTTTCGGCTGCAGACGTGTTGGCTGGGACGCTGTCCTTGGTGACGGTGCTTTCACCACCAACGAGCTTGACCCCAACATCACTCACCAGATCGTCGACCGACCCCCTGTTCAGGCTTTTGCCGAGGACGAGGAGGCTGACGGTGATGACAACCAGACCGCACAGAAGCTTGCCGCCAACCGACGAGTTCCTGGACGAACATACATTCAGCCTCAATGGGTTTGGGACAGCGTTAACGATGGTGAGCTGAAGGAGGCTCACATGTACGCTCCTGGCGCTGACCTCCCTCCCCATCTGAGCCCCTTCGTGCAGAGCGTCCAGGGCGCCTACGACCCTACTATTCCTTTGGAAGAGCAGGAGCCTGAGGCCGAGGCCATTGAGGCCCAGAGCGACGGCGAGGATGAGGTTGACGACACTGCTGAGGGCATGGATGTTGCTGATTCAGATGAGGGAGAGGATGCCGAGGACGATGAGTTCGGCGGTTTCTCCGCCGACGAGGAAGAGGATGAGGAAGAAGAGGAGGATGCTGAGGCACGACAAGACGAGCTAGAGGCTGAGCTTACTGGCGGTGCTGTCAAGTCTAAGAACACAAATGCTAAGGCTAAGGCTAAGGAGGATGCCCGCAAGGCTCTTTCCAAGAAGGCCCGTGAGGAGGCTGAGGATCTTGACCGCGCGAAGGGTATGCTTAGCAAGAAGAAGAGAAAGCTGTACGAGCAAATGGTGTACACCAACAACAAGAAGAGCGCTGAGGACCAGAAGCTGCGGGCCAAGAGAAGAAAGCTGGAAAAGGAAAAGGCCAAGGGTAAGGCCAAGGCGTAATTTGAAGTCACTGTTTAATACCATTCCGATAGATTTTAGTTATACGCGATTAAAAGCAGTCATTAAATGTTCCGAATCTGGAGTTTTTGAGATAATTCTACTGTCTTTAAGTTTTGGCTGTGCATGTTGTTCTTGCCTGTGCGAGGTGGATAAACTTGACTTTTACTTTGCGACGATAACCTCTTAAAAACTTGTACTTCGCATCACACAAACTTTTACCACCCAGCACGTTATATCCGATTATTATGTGACTTTTCGCAGTCTTATTCGACTCTGTTCATCTTTTTTCTTTTTACAATAATAATCCAGCATCGAACAACAATGGAAGCTAGCGCCACCGCCTGGGAGTTAGACAGCGATGAAATCGCATCCATCGCTTCTGAAGACTTGAACGCCAACAGACCGAACCGCTGGAAAGGACCCAAATCGACATGGCGCACTCACACAGAGGAAGACCGTCAACTATGGCAATCGATGAAGAAAATTGAAGATCAGGATCTCTCAGTGCATCTGTACAATGCATTTGCTCTTAAGCGGCAAGCTCAAAACCCGGAAACGGCTCAGAACTTAGTCGTCAAGACAGTGAGAAACCCTTGGATATTGGATACTAGCATGAAGCGAGACAGGGACTAATGAGATATATAGGAAAATGGCCAAGAGAATGTTTGGGTACCGCCTAAGGCATGGACCGCATGGCCATTAAAACACAAGCATGTGCCCAAAAAGCGTTTAATTGATGAAGAACATGACGAAGATGATCGCTTCACCTTTCGCAAGCAGGAAAAGATCATGCCGAGCACTGAGCTGGAGGAGGAGATTTCAGCCACCATACTGAGAACCGCCAAACGCCGCTTTCGCAGAAGCAAGGCCAAGATGGCCAAACCATCTATTGAAGAGCCTGACGATGAGGATGAGGAGAACGATGATGACACGTCTGAATCTGAATCAAGGGAGTCATCAGCCAAGCCAGATACGGACGCGGGGGAGAACGAGATGGCACTCGACGAAGATTATAAACCAAAGCGCAGAAAGGCTCCAAAGACATACGAACCGGTAGAATCTGCCAACGACGAGCATTCATATGCTCTTCTACGACCATCAACTAGACATATCCTTTCAAAACTTGATGATACACTGGACATTCTTCGCAAAACTCGTGAAGCGGGCATGAATTATGCATCCGACTCTTCAACCGAAGAAGATTCAGATAACCAGAGTCAAAGCGGACAAAAGAAGCCTCGCGGCCGCCCAAGAAATATATCTGAGGGAGTTTCATCTGCTTCCGACTCAGCAGCTCCCAAGACAAAAAATAGCAGACGTGGTCGGCCACGAAAAATCCATACCCCCCGAGATGGAGAAACACACGAAGAGATGCTCCAGCGTGTCGCCCGCGAATCTCATAGGAAGATTCCCGTTACGAAAGAAGATAGGGACGCAGCTTTCGAAGAATGGGTTCGTAAGGGTGATGAGATTATCGAGCGTGAGCGATCTTTATCTATCAAGCGTGCGAGATCTCAAGGTTCGGAGACAGGAAACGAGTCGGGCACAGATCGCAAGCGGCTCAGATTGGGTCTTCGTGACTGGAGCGATGTACTCGGTGCGGCCGCCCTAGCAGGATTCTCTGGCGATGTCATTGCGAAAGCAACACGACGATGCGCTGACTTATTTGGAGAGGGAATGGTGGTCCGTACCTTGAACGAAATACCTGCTACAAAGGGTAACGGCACAAGTACAGTCGAATACCGTCCAGAGCCTATTCAACTATCCTATTCCGATGAAGAAGCCGATGATGAAAGCGATGATGCCGCAGACCTTGCACAACGGCGAGTCGCATCCCGTCAAGCCTCCCTCGCGCAATCAAGCCGAAGCCCTGATTCTATCCGCAGCACCAGCCGACGCTCAACACGCTCACCAGGCCCGCCATCCGGTGCCAGATCTCCAAGGTCCCAATCTAACTCCGTGGGAGGCTTATCATTCTGCCCGATCCCTTCGTGTGATCGCTCAGTGAGAGGCTTTACTCGTAAGACTAACTTGCGACGACACTTAGAGCTCGTTCACCAGGGACAGGCAGAGGAGCTCGATAGCGACGATGAGGTGCTGGGTGGCGTGCATGTTGACGGCTTCTTGAAGCCCATCGTACCAGGAAAGGGATGGAGGGGCGAAGACACCGTGCAAAGAACTAGAAGGAAGGGGGTCTTTAGGGAGAAATCTGCGACAAGCCGGGAGGCGAGCTATGCTGAAGACAATTTGTCCTCATGAAAAGAATGAGTCGGGATGCTCTTTTAGAGGGGAAGGCATCATTAGCATGTTTGAAACTAGAGCAAACAGCATGATGGCATACTGATAAGACCACGGGGTATTCATGGTGGTTTAGCACGATACCAAATTGGTGTGGTGCTTTGAACTTGGTCGCTCTTAAGAGCTGATAGACATAAATCACAGGCCACAAGAAAGTTTAGAATCATACAGGTATCATTACTTTAATTGTGTAACAGTCAATGGGTATCAAAAATACTCAAATAACCCTAAATCACTTAAAACCACCACAACAAAGGAACCGAAAGTGAATGTAACCCGCCATGGCCATGCTTCATACAACACCAGACACCAGATCCAAAAACACGCTTCATGTACAAACAATCATGAGACAGTATCGTAAGTGGGAAACCTAGTTGATTCTAGGGCTCTTCCTCCTCGACAGGCTTTCCTCGAGCGCTGTCGGGAGTGTGTTCTCGCCGCCCTCAGAGATGATGGGATCCCTGCTGCCAACCTTCTTTGTGCTGCGAGTCGCACGCGTGTTGCGCTTAAATAGTGGCATTGTGCGCTCGGGAGGCATGGATGATATGCTGGCCCGAGGGTCAAAGCTAATGGATCCGGTTGTGAGGTTGCCTGATGCATTGGGCACATTGGGGTTCACCTCTCTGAGACTTGAGGGCATACCGATATGTTCAGGGGCGCTAGCCATGGACATACGTTGCGGTGGCCGAACTGGGGAGCTCACCATTTTCTGAGGACAATCGAGATCAGCAAAGACAATGGTAGCATCCTTATCGGTCGACTCGCGCTCCTTTGTTGGTGTCATGACCTCGTCAATGCTTGAAATAATGAGATCATGGTCTTGAGTACGGGGGAGATCGGTAGGGTAGTGGTATTGGACCTTCGCAGGGGTTTCACCGGTAGGTTGGTATTCTTGAAGAGTAGTCTTGGTGACATCCTCACGCAGGTTAGCAAGAGGGCGACAGAGCTGATCGTTCAAAGGCTCCAGGCCTTCCTGGAGATCACCAAGGTCAATCTCCATCTCCTCGCCCAGATTCTTGACACGATCGAATGTGGACTTGAAGTGAGCCGAAATGTTTCCAAAAGACTCCTCGACAGTGTTTGACAGAGCCTTGACAGACTGGTTGTGAGCCTCGTGATGGTGACCGTTCTCAGTCCTGGCTCGAGTGACGAAGTCGTCGAGAGCTTCCATTTGGACGTCGAGATCCTTGATCTGCTCATCGACAACACGAACAGTCTCAGCATGCACAGACTTAGCAGTAGCTTGAATGGAGCTACTGTGGTCATTGGCAGCTGTCCAGTCATCCTTGAGCTTCGTCTTGAGCGTGTCCCGAGACTTCTTGACTTCCTCGAGCATCTCATTCTCCTTGGAATCCCAAGAGGACATGCCCTCGCCGTAAGTGTCAATGGCCTGCTCGAGGTCGGTGCTTGTAGCAGTAATGCTCTTCTGGATCTGAGAGGCCTTGACATGGAAACGCGACTCCTGAGTCTCGGCTGTGTTGTTGATAAGAGTCGAGATCTGAGCCATGAGCTTCTGGCGGTCGTCAACAGCCAGGCGACGCTCTTCAGTCAGGGCATCTTGAATTCGAGAAGAGATAGTGGCGTTCTGTAGGACGATGGTATTGGTCGCGGATTGTAGTTGTCGCTTCAAGCTATCGCACTCGGCTCTCTGGGCCGTAATGTGCTTGACAAGTTCTTCGAAGATAGTCTTGAAGTCCTTTCCAAGAGCGCTGTAGGAGTTATGTAGCTGCAATATGTTAGTAGCTATTCTCGAGCTGGAAATGGCAAATCATACCTGTCCGTGGAAAGCAGTCATTTCACTCATCATATCTGCTGCGATCCTCTCAGCAGAGTGGGAGATGGACTGCAGGCTCTCTCCCATACGCTCCTTGACCGTATCACGAACAACCTTGATCTCCTCCAAGACTCCATCCATATCTTCCTTCGACTTTTGCTTAGATTCAAGCAATTCCTTCTTAGACCCGGCAAAGGTATTGAGGTGCTCATCCAGGAAAGCTTGTGTGGATGATAGTTTGCGCAGTTCCTCATCAACAAAGTTGCCCATACGCTCTCCAACGCTTGAGATATGTTCTTGCTGCTCCCCCTGGAACTCCTCGATTCGGCGCTCGACCATGGTTGTGACATCAGCAACTTGATCTTGAGATGTCGTCCATGTGTTTCGGTTGATGGACTGAAGGTCCGACTTTCGCCTGTTCTTGGCATGAAGACCATCAACATCGCGGACTGTCGTATGGAGCTTGTTGATGAGTTCTCCGCCAACTTCGGTAAGCTTCTGCTCTGTCTTTTGGTGCGCCTTTCTGATCTTGGTCTCCTCAGCGAGCGACTTCCGTGTTGCTGATAAAACAATCTCAGTCTGGTCCAACACTTCCTTCGTATCGTCTAGCTGAGCCCTTGTACCCTCGTGATCCTTCTTGAGACCCAGAAATGTTGACTGGAGGCTGAAAAGCTCCTGAACTTTGTTGCGCAGGTTGCTTTCAAGAGTCTCAAGCTTAGCAGTCTGTTCTTCGTTCACAATACGACGAGACTCGCTCTGTGCCGTCATCTCCTCATATACCTCATTGGAAAGGTAAACACCATTGCGTTGGCGGGTAGCAATGAGCTCGCTCTTGAGCTTCTCGATCTCCATGGTGAATTCCTTCAATAATGTCTTCTTCTCAACCATGGGATTCTGCTGAGGCTTGTTCTTGATGTTCTTGGCTCTAAAAGCATAGTCCAGTGTCGATATAGTTTCTTCCAAGTTGCTCTTCGCGGGGGAAATAGTAGCAATAATGCAGGTCTTCGTTCGGCCTCCAAGAGAGTCTTGCAATAGTCGAGTCAACTTGGATTCTCTGTAAGGAATATGGGAGCTCTTGTCCACGAGAGCATTAATGACTCGACCAAGAGTCAAGAGAGACTTGTTGATAAGACCAGCTTCAGCGGCGCGTTTGTTTTCAGCTCCAGATCTCTGAATGTTCTCACTTCCAGCCAAATCGACGAGATTCAGCTTTCCAGCACTAACAAGAGCCTCAACACCATGCTCATTAGGCTTTCGGACGTAGGCTGTGATAGTAAAGACTGTGTGACTACGAGAACTGAGATCGTTGCACTTCGTAGCCGCCACCTGACGCTTCAAGCTGCCCTCCTGGAGCACTTGAACACCCTCATTGGCGGTCTTGATGTGCTTCTCCTCCATGCCCTGAACAAGCGTGCTCGAGTGGCCTTTTCGCGATGTGTCGTCGTAAATTTTGAGCTTGGCACCGTCTTCGGAGGCAAGTAAATCGCGGAGTTCTTCGTTGTAAAGTTCGATGAATGAGCACTTGATGGTGCTCTCGGCGTTTTCGAGTTCGAGCTTGGTGAAAAGAGTCTGGAGCACTCGAGGAATGATGCCGGCATCGTCTGAGAGCATTCCCATTGTCTCAGTCATGTCACCAGACATGGTGTATGTTTTACCGGTGCCTGTTTGTCCGTAGGCGAAGATCGTGCAGTTATATCCGGCAAGCATCTAGAAGTATGGGTCAGTAACCAAAATCTGCGACCTCATATCCATAAAACCCACCTCGTCCAGAATAGGCTTCACTGTGTCGTCAAAGACCATGTATTGATCGGCTGCTTGAGAAAAGACGCGGTCAAAGTTGTAAGAGCGGTTGCTCAAAGCATTTGAGCCCATAGACAACTCAACAACCTTTCCCCTGACAGAGTCCGCTGTAACAACGACATTGCTGTTCTCCTTGACCTCGCGCTCGTTGCGTCCTCGACATCGAACAACGACCTGGATATTTGTCTCTTCCGTACTGGCCTCAGCCTCAAAATCGCGTTCCTTGCGCTTATTGCCGATGGAGTTAACAGTGGCCGTTGAAGCGACAGATGGAGTCGGTGAGACCGCGCCGTTGCGCGTCGCAAGTGAAGAACCATATCGTGTTGATGGCGCTCGTGTACTTGTTCTCACGCCTGGGCGGGAACTTGGAGGACGGACACTCGAGGTACGAGAGCTCGGAGGTGCCATTGCGATGCGGCTTTGCTCCCGCTCGGAGCGTGTCGTGCGTGACGCCACGATGGGCAACTATTTGGGGGTTTTCGCTTTTACTATGTGTGTTAGGAGAGGCTGTTGGGATGCCTCGTGAGTGCTTTAGCAACTGCACATTCGCTTGATCGAGAGCCGAAACAAAGAAACAAAATACACGTTGAAACTCGAAAACTTGAATACTTTGTGTACGTAGATCGTGGAGGGGCTGCGTGCATATAGAATAGTTAATGGTGACGGCAGGGCTGTTTGACATGGACATAAACGGTAAATAGTCCAACCGTGGAACCATGTTTTGGGCCCACGAGCGCTAGAGTCAACACAGACCTAGCGTCTATCACCACAGCAACGGACCCTTCAATGCTACTCTAACAAATCCATACAATGAGACATGTTAAAGGTGAAAGTCATACAATTAATAAGTCATTAATTCATGTCTTGTATGCAAAAGCATCATGAGATACTCTATTCCCGATCAATAATCTAGAATTACAACGTAAACGGTATCGAAGGCCCTCGTAGCCCAATCAAGTCTTGACTCTACTTGGCCAATACAAGCAATTAAACCCCAAGTTATGGACTTCACGGATTACTATTCCGTGTCCATCTTGTCAGGGTCGTCTTCTGCCTTTGTGTCTTTTGCTGACCCTTCAGCTTCGTCTTCCTTTTTTGCCTCGGTCTTGCCATTATCAGCATCATCCTTGGTCTTCTCTCCTTCTTCGTCAGAGTCTTCTTTGATCTTCTTGGGAGAGTCGCCTTCGAGATCTTCATCTGCCTCCCGTTTCGTACCAATACTCTCTGCGCTGGGACTCTTGGCCTCGCTCTCGCCATTAGCTTCGCCGTCAGCGTCAACATCATCCTTGGTCTCTTCGTCATCGTCGTGTTTCCTGCCCACTGCTGCTTCCACATCGATTCCTTGCATCCCCATGCCACCTTCAGACATGAAGCTTGTCGTTGTGGATTGAGGTCCTGTATCGCTCATCCCGATTTCTTCGGGGCCTCTGGCGTGTGGTGTTTCCTCTTCTTCCTCTTGCGCTTCCTCGTCATCATCCTCTTCCATCGTCATGCGCTCTCCTTCATGAGCAGCTTCCTGAGCTCTTGATAGCTGACTCACAGGAACCACTCCGGCGCGTTGTTCTTGGCGCAAGAGTTCGCCCTGGGTCACTCCTCGAGCATGGCCCGTAGAATGAATGCCATTGACACTAACGGACACAGTCTCGATGATGCCTCCACCATTGGGCCCTTCGATTGTCTCGGTACCTTCGCTGTGAATCTGTGCTCCAGGTGTGTCTTGCGAACTCTCGGGGCTCCGTCTCGTCAACCACGGGATAGGCGTTAATAATGCGCCTCCAAGTGCTTCATCTGTACCCAGTGCTCCCGCCGTAGGATTGCTCCATGAGACCGATGTTGCAGGATCGCTGGCCTCTTCTCCGTTTAGATGCATCGAGGACATGTCGGGAATAGGCGGTGGAAGAGGATATGTATCTGTACTTGACGTCACCTGCACTACGCGATCAACGGCATGTAGGTAAGGCACAACCGCCTTGTAATGCGCTTTGGGCCGTAGAATCAGTTCGGCAAGTCGTTGGATGGTGTGGGGAGGATGTGTCTTGAAAGTCTCAAGGTGTTTTGTGATTTCGATTAGCATATCTGCCAGCTGCTTTGGCAATGAACCTTCGATGGTTTGTGTAGCGGGAAGCGAATCTGTTGTTGATGCTTCCTTGTTCGTTTCTTGAGAAGAATCGGCTGGTTGTGATGCGGGCCGCGGCGACGTGCGCGCTGCTATAATGGGCTGGGGTACTGCAGGCGGAGGCGGTAATTTGGGTATAGGGAAGTCATTGTGTGCGATCTGAAGCGATCAGTTTGTGAGTTTATCGAACCATGATGTGCAGAAATACCTTGTCGAGTCTGGTAATTATGTCACTGCGCACTGCAGGCCAGGCCTCTCTGTTATGGTCAGAAATCACCCTCGAATAAATACAGAATAGCTGTAATCTTACTTATCGACTGTTGCGCCAGCGGCATACTGGCTAAGGGGACCGTTATCGCTATCAACCTCCATGATTTTATGATGCGCAAGTAATGATGATATGCGATGATGTTGAATCCACTAAGTCGCGATTGTCCGTCGCGCAGCTCTATGGTGGGGTTGTAAATATGGGGGTGGACGTCCCGTTAGATGCATGTAAACTTAACCTACACCAAACGGTGGAGGTTAAGTGTTACCAATATACGTTTCTTAAACAGCCAATCGCCATTGAAGATGTATACTATTTACAGATCTGATTTCCTACCTTCTTATTATCTTTCATCGCTAAGTCACGGCTGGTAGGTATGTGCATCAACAGTATAGTGCTAGTGCATTGTTAGGAACAATCCCTACGCCGATTGCAAAGATGCATGAGCTTTGTCACAAGAAGATACCAGACATTCACGCCGACGAATGCAATGGGAATTATTTCTTGTTACATCGTGTTAAATATATACGCGGTTTACCGATTATTACTATAAATACTAAAATCTCAGAAAACCTCCTCATTTCAAGTCGTCAATCAAACCTTCAAGCCATTACACCTGATAAGGGTTATACATCCACTTAGACGGCTCAAACATGACCTCAAACTTGGCGCCATCATACGTTCCAATAGCACAACTTAAGTCATGGAAACCTTCCAGTCCAGTCACAGGCAGATCCTGCTCAGCATCTGTCTCCTCATGAAGGGCCCATCCACCCGTCATAGTGCCATTGCGGGTGAAGAAGATGTCAACCTGCGGCTTCGGTCCACCAATAGGACGGAGCGTCATTCCGATACCGTACGTGTCACCACGTTGGAAGGGTTGAGTGAAGTCGCGACCACCCCAGCGGTCGTTGACGTACTTGTGTCCGTCGTCACCGTGGATTGCTAGACTGCCGCGGTGCCAGCCTGGCATGCGGAATGAAGGGTATGGCAGCGCGGTGAAACCAAGAGCGAGGAATACCTCGGGGCTGTCCCGTGCTACCTTGACTTCGTAGTAGATAGTCCTTGGCTGACCCAGGCGAATAGGATCATGTCCAGTGACCGAGTAGAGTGGTGGGTAACCAATGATACAACGATCGGGCGAGTTCTTCTTTGTCCAGCCCTGCCAATGTCCAGGCTGCAGCCAGGTGAGCTGACCACTGAAGCCTACGGGTTCCATGAGGCGGATATTACCCGCCTGAAGAGCCGCCTTTCCAGTTTGATCCAGATAGATAGGATCAGTCATAGGATACGATTGACACCAATCCTCACCAGCGTTAGCCTTATCCTCAGTAGCATTGCTCGTAGGCGATCTGTCGTAGCCGCTAAAGATAGCAGGAGGTGGCGGGAACAGTGAGGTATCTGGCACTGCTACCTCCCAGTCGTGCTTAGGGGGAGGTCCAGATGGAGGTGCATACTCTGGCGGCGCACCTTTGCTGGGAGGAGGACCCGGAGGGGCATCGTACTGTTGTGATGATGCATGTCCTGGAGGAGGTCCTGGGGGAGCATCATACTGCGCTCCGGCCTTGCTAGGTGGTGGTCCCATAGGCGCAGAATATTGCTGTGATGAAGATTGACCGGGCGGTGGTCCTGGAGGTGCAGAGTACTGTTGCGATGATGACTGACCAGGAGGTGGTCCTGGAGGCGGCGCAAAGTCCGAAGCCTGTTTCCTATCCGGAGGGGGTCCTGGAGGTGCTGAATAGCTGGATTCTCCCGCGTATTGGTTGGGGTCATTCTGAGGGTTGTATTTGCTCTTCTTCACATCTCCCTGGCTTTGAACCGATGCTGGTCTCTGCACCGGACGTGGCGCCGGATCATTATTCTCTTCCTTCTTGCTTCCGAAACACATGATGATTGTTGTGATGATGTTAAGATTAGGTGTTGTGAACTAGGAAGTAGCTTAAAGTATGACGATGTTGGAGCAGGGATCCAAAAGTGGGCACATGCAACCACTTATAAGCTTAATTGAGTTGGTTGCACGACAGTAACCAACAACGAATCACTTTATTGTGAAGTTGAATGTGGAGTGAAAAGAATTGAAAAGAATACTTATGGAATATGCATCTTTCTCGTGGCCTTTATTCGGAATCATGTAATTTTAAAGTCGTGGCTGTGCCGCTAAACTTCCACAAACACCACGCCGCTTTGAGCTTGCACAGCCCCTTATGTATCACGGGGAGGCAAGAAAAGCCTAGCTTTTGACAGAATCGGGAATAATGCTCGGAGGAATAGCCTGAGCTTAATCTCTAAAGAGCCTAATGTGTGCGAGGCTTGTACGGTGATGATTATGTTTTACGCTCAAGTACGCGAATACGCAAAGTTTCACATGTTCAAATTCAAATCAAAGGCAGTGTTTATGATGATTATATTATGATATTGAGTTGATATTATCGTTATTTATCCTCTCGTAATTTGAGTATCATAAGTCCTAAACTATGCTTCATGGCCATCATGGCCTATGTGCATCATGCCTTATTCGACATGTAGAAGAAAACTATCATCTATTCTCACCAACTGACAGCTTTCAGAAGGCAGACTAAGTACCTCCACCCCAGGCGCTGGCATCCTGTTCATCAGGGTAGAAGAAAGCCACAACGGCGATGATGATATACACCGCACAAAGCAATGCACCTTCAAGGTAGTTACTTCTACCGTCCAGTACCAAAAAGTTGACAATAAATGCCGAAACGAAGAGACAAACAGTCTCAAACAGCGTAAAGTACAAAGTCATCTCCTTATCCATGATCCATCCCAGGATCACCATAAAGGGAGTGAGGAGAAGAGCAATCTGGATAGAACTTCCGACAGCGACACCAATTGCGAGATCCATGTTGTTCTTGTAGGCGACTTTGATAGCGGTAACGTGCTCAGCTGCGTTACCAACGATAGGCAGAATAATGAGACCGATTCCAACTTGGTTGATGTGTGAAGTTTCGATAACGGCCTCGATAGAATCGACAAGGAACTCGGCGCAGACTGCGACCAGGGCCGTGGAAATCAGAAGGAGAATGACGGCGGCGAGTTGGGAGAGATGTTCCTCTTCATCCTCTTCCTGCTTGTCGAGAATCTGAGCACCAGGGGCATTCAACACAGGAGGAACATGAGCCGGCAGCATGGCGCCGGGAGCCCGAAACTGCAGGCGATCCGGGAGGGAGTTGGTACGTCGAATGCCATAACGAACAGTGGGAGCTGGACCCGCGGGCTTCTCGGTGAAAACGGGAGCAATGGCTTTAACGGAGATACCTCTCAAGGGGAATGGTCGCTTGCCCCCATTGGATGAAGGACCAGCTTCGAGGTCATCCTGGACCGCAAAGTCAACACGGCGAGGTTCCCCTTCGCCCTTGATTTCAGGTACATTCTCGGGGACGTTGTTCAAAGATTTGGTACCGTCGAGCTCCGTTTTAGCCTTGCGAGCCTCCTTCTTGCTCTTGCGGTGTCTGTGTCGGCGATAACGACGGCGTCGGCGGGAGCGTTCTGCCTCTTCATCATCGTCGTCAACCGCGTGCTCACTTCCTTCATAAGAAGGGAAACGGGGGACCCGATGGCGAGAGGCTCTTGCCTCAGAAATTTCATCCTGGGGTGAGGTGTTGTTGGTTACAAACGAAGCCGAACGGGTTCCCTTGGTGTCAGCGGTATCGGCAGAAGCAGCGCTAGATCTTCGGTGCCGTCTATTACGAAGGACCTTCTTCATTCGCTTTCGCATAGTACCGTGAGACGAATCAGAATCCGATGAGTCGGAACTCGAGGATGAACTGTCATCAGAACTGGAAGAGTCCAGCAGACCGGCGGCAGGACCAGGTGCCAACTCGGCATCAATGATGTGCTGAGGAGTGGACTCGTACATGTAAGCATGCGACTTGAGCTGGAACATGAGGTAGATGACATAAACTAGAAGCAGAACCACACTGGTTGCGCGACTGATCTTGAGCGACTCCTGGTCAGCGAGGGCATCACTCTTGAAAGAAGCATGAAAAGCTGTCGGCAAAACCAGACTGATAACACTCAGACTGAGCAGACAGGCGCTCATCTGGGTAACAGTGCTGTTATAGACCTGTTCACGGAATCGTAGACCTCCCAGAAGCATCGCCATTCCAAGAATGAGCAGCAGATTTGCTAGCACACTGCCAAGAAGGGCCGACTGTACGACTCGGATTTCGTTCTTTACCAGAGCGAGGATAAAGATGATCAATTCAACAGCATTGCCTGGGAACATGTTAGTTAAAGCTCGGAGTGAGTAGTTGTGTATCGACTTACCAAAAGTGACGTTCAACAACGCACCCAAAGCATCACCCATCTTTCGAGCAACAGATTCGGTAGCGAATGCCAAAAGTCCAGCAAGAGGGATGATTGCAACTGCATTCATACCAAAAACAAGACCTGCATGGACGCCATCGATCTGAGCGACGGCGATACCGACAGGAACGAATATCAAGAAAACATTGAGCCAGCTATAAGTGACACTGATTCTGATACTGCGTTTGACTTCGGCCATAAAACCAGTCTTTTTGCTGGTTGTACTTGAGATTTCTTCTTGGGCAGGCTCTTCAGCCTTGCCAGGAGGAGTCTCTATGACAGACCCCGATCGTGCAGCCTGAGACGATGTGTGAGAGGGGACATCGCCGGCAGAGGGGATCTTGAGCAGGGAGTTGTTCCTGCTGCCATTTTGTTTATTCGAGTGAGTCTTTTCGTTAAACTCTTTGTTTCGAGGTTGCTCATTCAAGCCCTGAGCAGTGGGCGCTGCGGGTTGTGCACCAGAGCGACTGCCATCTATATTGGGTGGTTCAGAAGAAGCTTCCTTCATCGAACAGGTGTTAGGTACTCGGGAGAGTAAGAGTCGTAACAAAGGGTCAACTATCAAGTGAAGATAGTTGTCTTGGGGCTTTTGGTGAGCTTGAGAAAGTGTAGTCGAAAAGTGTAAGTGAGAAGATGTAGAAGAAACAGGAGCCAAGGCCTTGGCTTTAAGGCGGGAAGCTAGCCAAGTTTCCTAGGCGTGAGTGTAGGCCGGGGATGACGCTGTTTGTTTAGTGGAGTACAGTGGCGCTGGTGGAGAATAAGTCACTGTAGATAATGGCTGGAACTGGCCAGACCGAGAGTCCAGTGTCTGTGATGGATATCTGATGTCGTCAAACAGCTGAGGCAGCCCGCTAGAGAGATGTCGTGATTGGTTGATAGGAGATGTGTCAGAGGCAAAGTGAGGCGGTGCAGCCTCACGTCGATGTTACTAACGTAGCGAGCGTTTGCCTCCGAACTGGGCTCCCTTTACAAACAGATCTCTACGATTCTATCCCATTCACTCTGAAATTCCAGCAGTGATTCAATTCTTACCAATGTCTAATCTGTGACAAAGACCACCAGGCAGACTCGGCTTTCATCAAAACTCCATCATCCACGAGGAGATCCAACAAACAGACTACTGGAGACACAACAATAAACAAGAAGCTTAACCAAGATATCCCCGTCTTTCTCGGCAGCAAAGTGCCGGTATAGGCTTGGCATGATCACAGCAAGTGCTCATTAACCCGATATAGTAAGAGATCGACAGGAACCACAATCAAGTTGTGGCTTGACTCCCTCCATCTCAAGATGCTGTACTGTATCAGTGTATCAATCTCAATGATTGATAATGATTACTTCGTACTGTGCTTTACGCAAGGAGGTCCTGTTTTCGTTACGACCACTAGCGAATCTGACACAGCTAGTGACGTGGTATGATCTGCCAACAAAGCATCAACCTTCCTATCGTCAGACGGAGATAGCGTTCGGGTGCAACCTAGGTCGGATCCGAAAGGCGAATTCAAGTTAAATCACCGACGGATTGAATACGCGAGCCTGCCCAGTGACATTGCTCAAGTGACGTAAGTATCTGTAAGGATTATCTCAACTCCAGAACATGATTTACCAGATAGCTACCTATCTACCAAGGTAGGTATTCTTTAATTTCCTGTTGACAAGCAGGTATATTCACTGCCTACCTTAGTACCTATCAAGCACACCTAATTGTGGCGCATGTCTGACTCGCACAAACGCTTGTCGTTTAAAGGCTAGAATCCACCTTCTGACTCGCATCTTCCTCGGCTACAAGAACCTCAGTTTGCTTAGAGTCTGGGCTTTACAATTATCCTAAGCTCGAGAATGGATTCTGAACTATGTGATCTGTTCCTTGGAGTTCTTAAACCGAGATCTAAGCTCATTGGGATAATACTGCATTGAGTGCCTATTTCAGGCAGTATAAGCTGATAGGATGCTCTCTAGACTTAATGCTTCATACAACTGGGTTAGCAGAAAAGTTACTCTAAGCTTTAGCAAATAGTATAATACCAGACCTAAGCATACATAAAGTATCTGATATCTCGTCTTTTATTCTTCAACGGTCAAAGCCTGGGGTTCCTCTGATAGGACATCTCATGTTCATGATCAGGAAGTATCAGCCTCAAAACATATATAAGCCCACAGCGGATCGTCAACTGCCTGAGTCGATCACGGGTACCGGTCCACTAGTTACTTTGTCAACCACAACGACTAGCGACAACTCACCGTCAAAGCACGATACTGACCGCCAGTTGTAGGCAGTCAAAGCACAGTCCCTACCTCGGTATCAGTAAAACTTCAAGCCACCGACAACATCACGAATAGAGAGACAAAAACATAGTATTGGAGTTTGTATGAGGTCTCTTGATTTCGTATACTAGGTATCTAGTCTAGAGTTGATATGTTATCTTCAACTAAAGCGTATTCAATAAACCCTCCTTCACTAAAAAACAAACATAACAATTCATCAATTGAAAAGAAAGGCATTTCAAGTCACATTCGATTCGTTGGGCTTCGTTCGTTAATGTCTCCTTTGAGACAAATCTTGGCTGAGATGCGTTTGTATAGACACAGACAAATAAAATAATAAAACACTTTCTTCCTTTACTCCCCCATCTTTCTCTCCCTTCCTCTTTCGCGGCGTCAGAATTATACAGAAACAAGGGGATTGTCCAGCCCACATCTTGTTCCTCATCCTTCCGCTGATGATTCAACAAACTTTGCATAAACCGAGTAACTGTGTGTAGTGGAATATAACTATCCGGGACCACCAAAGTCTCAATCTCATATCCCCTTTGCGCCATGATGTGTGTGTGTGTGTGTGTGTGTGTGCGAAATATGTAGTTATGTGTGTGCGTGCGGAAAAGGACCAACCCCGGGTGGTCTCCAAGTTGCGATTGGGCATCGTCGAGAGCCCTTGGTGTTCGTCCCTCATTACTGGTAGCTTGAATATGTGTGTTGTGGTGTTGTGTGTCCCGGCAAAAAATAATAGACAATGACAATTATTGCATCCAACTGCGAACATTGGTGCGGAACTTCCGGACAAAAGATCTTTCAAATTGAGACGGTACGCCGTTAACTCCAGGTGCTTCACGCATGCTTTGTTCACCTATCTTCACCACCTCTCGCCTTGCCACGTCTTCTGAAGAAATCCATGACACGTTTCGCGGCTCCGCTGCTTCCTTCATGACCACCATCATAGGCGTCCGCGAACTTCTTGTGGCTCTTGTGAAGAACACCTGGGCGGTCCTCACGGCTGCTTCCGACTGGTCGTCCATCGTATCCTTCAGACTCAGAGAAGTCTGCTTGGTAAGGGCGAGATCGTGAGTCGTTAGGTCGTCGCATGTCCACCGATGAATCTGAACCAGTGTTCAAATGGCTGCCTCCCTGGATATAGGTAGGGATCGCGCTGGGCCTTCGGCCATCCTGTTGCTGAGACCCGTAGCGTGTGTGATACACAGGGCTTGACTGTGCTGTGTCACGCTGGGGGTACTGCTCGTAGGGTGCATCGAAGTAGGGCTCGCTGTGTCGAGGCTCATCGTGGTTGCTGTAGCCGCGAAGTTGCTCGGTTCGAGGATGTTGAATAGGCAAGTCCTGTTGTGAATCGGCCTCAGATCCTGTCACGCTACCCTCGTTCCTGCCAAGACCCATAGCCTTGACCAGAGAAAATCGACGGTTTTGCTTGTCACTTGAGCCTTGAACACTGCCACTACGCTTCTTGCCAAGACCAAGGGAGAAGGATCTTCTAGATGCCTTCGAGTCCATTGATGGTCTAGGGCCAGCGTCCTCGCCTGGCAACATGGTGTTTGACATGCTGACAGGTGGGTACTTCCTCGATGACTTTTCGGCCTGCGGTTGCTGCGGTTGCTGCTGCTGTTCAGGTCGTTTCTTAGATTTGCCACCAAAGATGGATCCGCTGCGGCCCATGATCTTGTTGCCGAGATCACCCAGAGTGTTCGATCGCTTATGGCCCCTACCGGATGCCTTGGTCTCGTTCTGGAATGTGGACATCTTCATCACCTTAGGAGGAACGCTACCAACATCCTTGGCAATATTACCTTCCTCATCGGGGGTCTGAGGCTGCTGGATTCGGCCGTGAGCATTTGTATCGGCGATTGTAGGTGGTGCAGGCTGTCCATAGTTGCCATGAGACTGTAGACCCATCGATGTCGAGGATTGCATTGATCCTTGTGTTCGCGGTCTTGTTGTGGCAGTTCCACCAGTCATGAAGGCATTGTCGGAAGTGGCGCGAGTATCGCGAGATGGTCGGTGGGGAGGAGGGGCATTCTTGTGCGAACTTTGAGGACGCCTTGATTGCTGAGCACGAGAAGCATTGTCCTTCGTCAGTGGCGGCTCGCGAGGCAGGGGTTTCTCAGTATTAGGCTCCGGAGTATCGGCAGCCTGCTGTTGTTGGAGAGAGTGAGAACTAGGTTTCGAAGGCGCGGCCTCGGCACCACGTTGAGTTTTCGTTGTAGGAGCCACGTATTCGACCTGGACTGTTCTTCGCTTAGCATCCTTGGGTGTGCTACGATGAGTAGCCTCAGCCTCAGGATCAACACTGCCATGCGTCTTGGCCAATCCTCCAACAACAGGAGGATGAGATTGCTTGTGCTTCGAGGCTTCGCGGACGGAGTTGCTTCGGGCGACTGTGGGAGCCTCGGCGTAGTCGTCATCGGGAGAAACACCGGAATCGGGAACCTCTGAAGGTAGTGTTGTCGAGCTGGTGATGAACTCCACGAGGTTGGCATACTCGCTCAGCCAGCTGTGTCGAGCAACTTCGAACAGATCCGCTCTCTTGCGGGGGTTAGGAACGAGGATGCGGCGGAGGAGGTCTCGGGCGTGAGGGGTGACATATTCGGGGAAGGTCAAAGGCGTTGTGACGATGTACTTGTATAGGAGGTTGATGTTGTCGCCTTCGGGGTTGGCGGGATCGTCGTCGAATGGGAGGTAGCCAGCAAGCATGGCATACTACAACAGGTCAGCTCAACAGTCACTTTATGTACGCCAAGCGCGGAACTTACCAAAATGACACCACAACTCCAGACATCCACCTTACGACCAGTGTATAGAGAATCGCTAACAACCAATTCAGGCGCGGCATAGCAAGGACTTCCACAACTTGTCTGCATGAGATCACCCTTCCTGGAGCCGTTCATCTTGACGCGATCCAAGCCCATTCGCTTCACGAACTCCTTATCGGTCAGGTTGAGCTCCTCATCTTTGGTCAATTCCTCGTTGGCATCGAAGGTGTTGGCGAAACCAAAATCGGTGATAATAATGTTGCGGTTACGGTCGAGAAGCAAGTTTTCTAGCTTCAAATCTCGGTGTACTATTCCCTTCTTGTGTAGGTAACCAACGCCAGAAATGAGCTGGGCGAATAAGCGACGCGCAGCATTATCTTTTAGGTAGCGGTGGTTGAGGATATAATCGAAAAGTTCACCGCCGGACGCGTATTCGAGAATGATACCAATGTGTCGGTCTGTCTCGACCTTGTCGATCAGACGCACAATGTTGGGGTGCTGAACCCCGCGAAGGATGGCAACTTCGCGGTAAATCTTAGCAAATCGAGAGGGGTTGCTTCCAACGCTGTCCCTCTTGATGAGCTTGATGGCAACCTGTTATCGTAAGTATGGAGTCTCTTTAAGGGTAAGTACAAAAGCTTACTTGAACGCTGCTGTCCTGTTTCCAGCCCAGCTTCACTTTGCCAAATTCACCCTCACCAATAGTGTTGCCGAGAATGAAATCACCAAACTTGGTATTGCCCTTATGGCTTTTACTATGGTCGTGTCGGCTTCGCTGCCTTCGTTCCTCGCCATGTTCACCCGTTGCGACAGCGGGAGGAGGCATAGCCGAATTATCGCCATTTTGCTGGTGGCCGGCATGGTTGCGATCCCGGTCGATGGTGTCCTGAGCAGCTGCAATGGCTTTTGTTAAGCTGTCAGTGGCATCGTGGACAGGTTTCGAGGGCGTGTTGTGTGCGGATCGGACAGGCAGAGATGAGCTTGGGACCTTGCTGCCATCTCGGCTGCTTGCTCGGGCAGCAGCGTCAGCCTTGCTGCTTCGATAACCGTTCTCGGCGGCCGCTGATTCACCACGCGAACCAGTTCGTGTGGAATCGTTTCGGCGGGGAGAATTGGGGGACTTTTCGTTGGAATACTGGGACCTTCGCGAGCTACCACTCTGGTGGTTAGAGGAGCTCCGCGGAGGAGCGACGGGAGGCATGTTGCCTTGCCAGTCAGAGGCACCTTGATCTTGGTCGTTGGGCGCCGAAGCGGTGGCTGGTGCACCAAAGCCTGGAGTTAGATGATAAGAATGCGAGGGAGCGCTTTCGTTCGTTTTTCTTGAAGGAGGTCGTCGCGAAGATGAAGAAGCGGTCGAGGTCTGCTGGGCATTGTACGCCTGACTGTTAGGGGATGAGTGCGAGGGCCTGTACTGGCGGGACGACGGTGTGCTCAAGGGGGACGAGGCCAGAGCGGTGTGTTGTTGATGGGGGGCCGTCTGTAGGGCAGCCGACGACATCTTCCACGCCCGAACGCGTCGATAAAAAGAAGCGAACGGAAGGAACCGTTATTTACAGGGCGAGTCTTTTCTTTCAAGTCTCCCTAGTATTATACAACAACAAGCGGGCGTGCGCGAGTTGTGGTTTTCTGACGGTGGCGCCCAGAAAAAAAGGTCCAGCCGTCGACGCGAATATGCAGGTCGAAATACCTGGCAGTTTCAGTCGGCCCAGTCTAGGGAAGCGCTGAACCGGGGGATAAATGCAAGCGGCTCCAGACGAGTACAGTAAGGTAGTTGTAAGCGACAGATGACGGGGGGAAACCGTTTCAAAATAAGGATGAACCAAATATTAAGAGGTGAAAACAAATGAAGTCAAGTCAAGTCGAGTCAGGTGATGTTAATTCAAGTTCGTGAATCGACAAGCATTCATGTTGTTTTCTCTTGCGCGCGCTGAGAGACGAGAACGAGACGAGACGGAATTGCGAATAAAGTTATTCGAGATCGGTCGTATCCGCTTCAAAATGGGATTTGATTTCCGTTTGAAATACCGGTACCGGCAACTGTGACTGTGACTGTGACTGTAATTCGAGGCGAACTAACGGCCGCGACAGGCGGTTGAATTAATTGGACTGGAGCACAGCCGACAACTGGATGCGTTGGCAATCGGGCTGAAGCAGTTCCAGTTGATTTTGTAGGTTTGTTGTCTTGTTGCGTTGCGTTGCGTTGCGCTGCGGCTTGGGGCCTTGGGTCCTGCAGGTGCTAATTAGGCGATGAGACTGGACTGGTTCCAATTGGACTGAACGTGGTCGAAGCTGGAGGTTGGGAGATACGATAGGATCAGTTGGGTCCCAAAATCAAAGTCCAATCCAATGCGCTCCTCTCAAATGCGATGCGATGCGAACGCGCAAACGTCAGACAGAGAAAAAAGAAGCTTTGAGGTTATCGCCAGAAACAGGCGAAATGGCAAAGAGAAGAAAAGAGAGGATGGGAAAAAACGAAACTGGGACGAGGTTCAATTAAACGGGCGAGGGAGGTACAAAGTAGGGTACAGAGTAAGGTACCGTACAATTAACGTAACAAACAGCCAAGCCAAGACCCAGCCCAGTACAACAGAGGCAGAGATTTAGTTAAGTTGGGTTTAGTACAGAAAAAAATCAAGCAAGAAAAAAAGAGCAAATGGTGTGAGGGACCGTGTCTGAGTCGGGGCCTCACGCGCTACCAGAGTCAGAATAAGACTCAGACTCAGATTCAGATTCAGAGTCAAGGTCAAGGAAGAGAGACTTGACCCGACCCGACCTGAAGTGGAGGAACTTTCAGGTCTTGGTTTTAGTGGAAGTGGACGGGAGACCAGGGCAAGGCAAGGCAAAGCAAAGCAAAAGAAACAAGCGTCAATGATACGGTACTTAATTTACTGCGGGATAAAGAGTAGATCTCGAGGTACACCAACATCCTGGAACCCTGAACGGACAGCCCAGTCCAGGGAAGGGAAGCCATTCATCAATTTCCCAGAAGGGACTTTGCAGACAGACTCACTGAGAGGTACATACAATAGACTAGAGCACACCTACTCTGACATGGAGAGTCAAGGATGGTTGGGCTGCAGCAAGTGGAGTAGAAACCCTGGCAAGTTGTTCCTATGATATCTTCCACTAAACAGACCGACACAGGCCATTGATCAAACTAACGGCGCCTCTAAGCTAGGAAAAGTATTGGAGCATTGACATTGATATCCTCTGAGACCTTGTGGATTGCAATGCCATGATACTCTCTCTTTGTTTACAGTATTACATTCTCATCCAATGCAAGGAGTAAGAGGGAGGGAAAAGAAAACCTTGGCTGGAAGGGGCGCCATGCATGATCAAAGATCCATATCACTGCAGTACCCCTGAATATAGCGTTGTCGTTCCTGCAGGTACGGTACGGATACAGCTGGAACTCCATTTCTATTCCATCCCTACTCCTCCCTCATCCGATAATAGCTGGAGACCTGACCTAGGCTGGCTGCCAACTTGGCTTACAGTACTTCTCAAATAGGTGATTGATCTATTTGCAGCCAAGGTATTACAGGTCAAGACTATCAGCTAGTCGGGTCATATGAGTCCCAGTGTCAACAAATATCCCGCAAATGACGGGACAACAACAAACAGACAACTCAACAGACCCTTGACCAAATTCAATGGCGCATATATCAACGATATTGGATGACGACAATGAATCACAAGTTACTATGTACTCATATGTTTGGTCAATGGTTCTTGCCTCCCTCCCTCCCTCTCTCTTGTTTCTCGAGATTAGGATATCATGCTTCGCCCAGCCACCTACCGGCCAGTGCTCACCACCAGCATGTTCCCTCGATAATGCTCCGCAATATGAAGTCGTTCGTCTGTCTCTGTCTTTCCTCTGCGGGCTGCCCTTGTTTCGGGGCGTCTGGAGCTAATCCGAGTCTGGGTTTCCCTTCTCCCCTAGTCAGCCGAGACCTGAGTTTGTTCTGTGTTAGTCCACTGGTCCCCTTGTCTGAGTCTGACTTTGAGTCTGATGGCTGGAATTGAATTTTGGCGCCCAACGGGAGCGTCATTATTTCAACTACCGATAGTTTGACTCGATACTTTGTATAGAATGCTTCGTCTACCCCAACCACCTAGGGAGCTTTGATGAGGGAGAGTCCTTTGCTTCTAGTCTCCAGACCCAAGAAGCTGGAACACAATGCGCAAAAGGCATTGAGCAGTAATCTTACGAGCGGGCTGGCTCTTCTAGAGAGGGTGGTCTCAGCTCTGGCTTCTCTTATTTCTGAATGACATTTTCGGCAACTTGCGTCACGATCCAAAGCCAGGTCATCGGCCATACCGTCCGTCCGCAAATCTCATCTCATCTCATCTACCTATTTTACGGAGTGGCTTGACTACTTATGGCTTGAACGGGTAGGTACATAATGTGCTACTACCGTATAGTACTGCCCGCTGAGCAGCGCGATCTGCATTGCATGGGTGATATCGACGGATAACGTTGCGCCGTTTGACTGCATTATACTGTCCAGTGGCTTTGACATTTGGAAAGGCGCCCTGCATGAGTGAATTGCCTCCTCAGCATCATCGAGGTATGGTTTCAACAGCCGGTCCGTCTCGCCTGGGCCCGGTCCGTTATCTTTGTTCTCGTATTCCAGCCAACATGAATGGTAGCGTAGGACAGAACGGACGCTCTGTACAGCTCGAGGCTAAGATTCCACTTGTTTCGAGAAGTTCGGATAGAAGCAAAGGAACTGCTGTCGTGGTTCGTGCGTTTGTAGCATCATCAGTCTTTGTGGGCAGATGAAGCGAAGGAAGGATGCTACTCCGCTTCATCGGACCATGTATAGATAAACTCGAGAGACTCGGCGCTTAGGTCTTTATTCACATATGCTAAACGCCCGTTGCGATGGATACAAAGTTTCCCTCAACTCTATTTTCTCTTTCGGTGTTCCTAACTATAAATATCTTTCACCTTCCTGAGCTGCCTAGGCTGATCTTTTCTATGTATGCTTTTCCGGATGTTGTTCCGTGACAACCTCAAAGACTCAAACCTTACAGCTGCATATGCATTTACTACATAGACTAGCTCTTCTTGTAACCACTTTGCTTCTTACGATGTTATAATTGCCTCTTTTTGGATCTCTTCAATTTGCTCTGTATCACATTACGAAGATTTCCTTTTCTTTGGGCAAACTATTAATCCTTACAGTAATATTCGTAGGTGCCGTCACAATAAGCGACGGCGATCATCATCAGTGTCTCGCAACATGTTCCTTGGCTGACAGCAAGCTCTTCCTGCCTCAAGCGGATAATCGTCCGACGAACTCTGTTTGACCCTTGCTTGTATAAATCCAATATCTTAGCTATAGTTTTCATGTGGCCTTCTCACTCTGGGGTCATCTCGCTTGTCGATACGATTCCCCAGATTGAGAGAGAGACTGCACACACATTCAATGATTGATTTCCACAGCCGAATTGCATATAATATTACGAGATAGTCCCCCTCGACTGTTTGTTGTCTTTGTCTGTCTCTGACCATTTCCCCGAGACAAGTCGCGATTTTACCCGTCCAAAGTCTGAAACAAGCTAATGTCCATCCTCCAATATTATTATCACTCTCCTACATTTAGACCCACGACCGAAGATGCCATAAATACATCAACATGACATTGTCAGTTTGACTAGTGAAAGAGTTAAGACTTGACATGCGCGTACACTACTTACGCGTTATTCTCACAAGTGCAAGCGCAAGTGCAAGCTCACATAACTGCCAGCATAAATAAACGGAGATGAGCTGTGGTTAAAGCAGACAGGGATATCCGCTGACGTGAACTTGAGCTTGACAAGGGCAGCTTTGACCATTGTCTGTTCGTTTCAGACGTCATTTTTTCCGGCGTTGCCGTCTTTGCGGGTAGAAACAAAGCCTTTTTTCGTCTTTGTTTGTCTGTTCTGTTCTGTTTTGGAGACGAGACAAGACAACATGAGACGAGATGAAACCACGCGTTTGAGGTAGGTATTTGACTTACACAAATGAGATTCAACTTATACCATTTGAGCTATATCAGCTCTATTTACTTTTCTGTCCTCAGCTGAGCCACTAACATGCAGATGGTACGATACGGAACTACGCAATTCAGCTGAGATGTCCGTATCCGAGATTCAGCCCTCTCTGATTAACTCTTTGAAGCGTCTATCCCGGTTACAACAACCCGCCAAGTGACAAGACAAGCCTGCCCATACTACCCCAGTCGCAAGCTATACCTTGATAGTGCATCCCTCCAGATCCTCGGAGGGACGGGCGTGGAATCTTCATCGTAATCAGATCACGATCTCGTTACATTTGATGACGGTTCGTCTATAACGGAAAATGTGATCCCGTACTTGGCGGAGCCTTGTCTCATCTGCATTTTAGCTCCTTGTCACTTGATGATATCCATGTCAATGTCACTGCGGCCGCTGGACTAGAGATCATGCTGTTGTCCGTAGGGTAGCGAGATCAACATGACCCTGAACCAGTCATAGCTTCGACAAGAGAGAAATCGAATGTCACCATATCGGCAGATAATGCCTTTGACCATTATATAGAGTGGAGTTTGTAATGTACATGTTTTCAATATTATCCTATCTTATACGCATAAGCGTAATTGCATATTGAAACTGAGAAATTGGGCACGGCAGTGAAATGGTATTGATCAGTACGTTGATACACGTGTGGACGATACCAATGTCGGCACACAACTTTTGCCATGGGTTGCCTCGCAAGACTTGAACGACAGTAGATTCGTAATATCAACAACGTATAGACTGTCTTGTGAGCAGGCCGTGATCGAGGATGTTTCTCCGAACTGAGCCGCGAACCGATGTGATATGGTAGTGTGTGATGAGATGCCGCGATATTAGGAACGACAGCGGTTGAGAAAGAGGAGGATATTGCCAAATTAGAGCGAACGCCTGTTAATCCGAGGTGATTTCAGAGGCTCGGTATAGTTCATTGGGTCAGTCGGGCCTTACTCGATACCCTGATCACCAGCCATGATATGGCTTGCCCTGGAATAGCCTATGTTGGACGTGTCACACTGATTTCACTGCATGGAAGAAGTCATGAAGTTGGTATAGTCGAGTGACCAGACACTGCCATCATGCAGTACTAATAGACAAACTCGGTATTCTATCAAACCACTCGTGGACAATGCCGAAAAGATCAAGCACAACTTGCACTTGGAATTTGTTCATATTGCTCGTACATCATTTTGGAAGATATACGAAATGCCACGCTAATTGTCTAAGATGAGATGCTAAATGTCGCTATTATAGTTTCACGCTGATATCATATGCATCCAATACCACCGCGAAACCTGTGATAGTCGCAGTATATGCCACCATTATACCCATCGTAGCAATGGGAGTAGCATCAAGTGTGTTGACAGTCATGTTAACCAACCCAGTCAGCAAGTTTGCGACCAAGAAGACAGCCAGGCCGTTCCGATTGTAGGCTCGGATCACATGACTGGTAGCATGTGTATATGCTTCCTTCTCGGTCTTCGCATCCTGTGCATTATAGAACGCAGGGAAGAACACCGTGTCGACGACGGCAAACCCAAGGAGCTGCAGAGTGTTGAAGGCAACAACCCATAGGACATAAGGTAGGTTCGCCATGCGACGAGACACGGCCAGACCGAAACCGTAATGGTAGTTTGTGGACAGCAGATATAGACCTGTCCAGACTCCTCCCCAAACAGCCATGGTCATCAAGAGGGTATTGCGCTGAGCGCCGGGACTAGCAGTACTCTTTGGGGGTATGTTCCGAGGAATAACAAACATGCCCGTATCCTGTCCAGCAAGGAAGATGGCCAGATAGCCTATGAAACTGAAAATTCCTTCACGATTCATGCTAATTAGATCGGTCCTGGGTGCTGTAAGGACGAACGCCTTCAGACTAGTGGTTTCAAGCAGAACTTGATATGTGACGCCGACCAACAACGACAGAGCAGCAAATGAAGGAATCCATTTGAGCGCTGACTGAAAGATAGCCACGAATGGGGGCAAGAGTCCCAGTGTGAAGAAGAAATTCCAATGAACACCATACTCTGTCACATGTTCTGCATAGTCCAGACCCTTTACACTCAGGAACCTGATGAAGCCTAGGACCAGAAGTGGAATGGAGTGACGGAACGAATGCACGATGCGGTAGAAAAGTGACGAACCTTTACCAGTAGTGCGACCTATAGCTTTCTCTCGCAACACGGGACGAGCTGCAACAAGCCCAGCTGAGAAGACAAAGGATCCAACACCAAGATCCATGAGAGAAGTACCCCATGTCTCAACCTTGGCAAAGCGCCTAGGGAACAGTCGGAAATCGACAGCAAGGATAGCCACACAGGTGGCAATCATCATGCAACCACGGAAGTTTGTCAGGAACGGCTTTGTTGATAGGATATCCAACTGCCCAGAGCTTTCGTTGGACCGGGCATTAGGAGGGACCTTAGCCTTCTTCTTTCGACTTATAGGACGTGGCGGCAGAGTAAAGATGAGGACGGCAGGCGCAATTAGGAGGAGGTTGAGTAGAAGAGGCGAGTTGGAATACAAGGTCATCGAGAGAAGGATTGCGCCAACATTGAGGAGGAAGTCGACGGCAAACGCCAGCACCGTGTATGGTTCAAAGAAGGACTGGCGGGCTTGGAGTACAGACCAAAGTAGAATAGCCACCTGCAACAAGTCATTTTTAGCAACTCTTCACGGGCGGTTGGTACGGACGGGAGGTTTAGGGGGACAAACAGCTGCAACGGATGTAACATAGTTGATTTCTGCGACAGAGCCGCCAGACAGGTTGGACACAAAGGCCTCCTTCTGCTGCTTGTAGCTTGTGGCAGGATCAGGCATGGCTGGCAATGAAATTGTAGAGAATTCAGCCTTGGCGCATAGTTGGAGAAAGTATAAAGAGAAAGTTTTGAGGAAGAAGAATGGCTGAGGGAGGTAGGGAAGCGGAAGCGACACCTGTCAAAGTTGACAAGTAATGCGAAAGGAAACTCAGCCTTGTTCGCGATGGTGTAAGTAGGATACAGTACTGATTTGAGATGGAGGGGCCCAAGGCTAAGAAAACGGGTAGCCACTGGAGATTTGACCAATCAGTAGATGAGACGTTACGGGACATGGTGTCACGTGCATCCTCATCTCCATCCGACTTACACAGTATCAAACCTTCAACAGATCCAACTCATCAACTCCCTGCCGGCAAACATGCTTCACTAAATAGTATATCCCTGCGATAAACCCAACATTTCAGGGTTTTCACCAACGCCTCATTCAGTCCGTCGGGTCGGAAAGACCAGCCAAAAGCGGGCTCTATGCCGCGGACGCCAACATAATATGTCGGCACCAATTGCCTAACGCAAGCCGCATTTCTTTGTTCTCTTGCGCCAACAAACACACACTTTTGGTCCGTCAAAGATATCTGCCAGCGCTAAACCGCTCACTCCTTTGTGAAGAAATGAACTCTGAAGTCAGAGAATGTGCATCAGTCATGTCAGCCTTTATTTAAGTAAAAACGCCATGTCATCCTGGTTTAATAAGGGGGTCATCAGCTACAGGAGAGAGGAGGTCTGATTAATTTCAAGCAATACATCATACCGTCCTTCTACTCTTCATGTCTCTCTGTTTCTCTATCTCTCTGTCTCGTAAACTCCTGGCTCTTTATCGTACTTCATTCTAAGTTCCCTACACACAACTTGGTTCATATTTCGTAAAGTTCTTTATCACCTTCGTAGCAACCATGACGATGGCTTCTGCTGAAGCTCGACCTCGTCCAGCGATAGAACCCATCCGAACTACTGGTCCCGATCTGAACATCCGCTCCTTGCGATCACGCATCATTCAGAAGAGCCCTTCTTGGACTCCGTCACCCCTCTCACCCCGCAGCCTCCCTCTCCCACGACTTCGAGTGGCAAGAGATGAAGATGTTGAACAAAATGATGACATGGATGTTGATCCGCGAGAGAAACCAAGGCGTGATTCTCTCAGACAAGAAGCCAGCCTTCGCAATGTCTCTTTGAGACCCATATCAGAACTTGGTCTTCCAAGCCCCAGTCCCTTGCGATCTTCACACTCCCCCCTATCAGCCCCTCTGTTTCCACCTCAAGTTTTCCGCAGACCAACTCTTACGGAAGAGACACGAGGCAGACTACTTCGCGAGTCGGATGCTGAGCCTCGCCGGGGCTCCATGCCTTTGGATTATGAGCGTCGACAGTCTGCGCCTGGAGGTCCTCTCCATACCAGAGCCATACAGATTGCTCGACAACGAGATCAGCTCCACCGCCGAAGACTTGCTGTTTCATATAGACCTCGCGAACCTGAAATATTCGTTCAGCCCGTCGAGCTTCGTCGTCTCTCCGTGTTGCCTTCCAGCGACGCAGAGCCACCATCTCCACACCCTGTGGATGGACGTCTGACCACTCGTGTAGTTGTACACTCTCCGGGCAAAAAGGCTGTCGTCCTTACTAGAACTTTTGATTTGGATGAATTGAGAGCTACACTCCCACCGATTAGTCCCGTGGAACAGACAGATCGACGAGCATCAGTAACAAGTCTTCAGCTTCCCCTTACCAGCTCTCGATCATCTTCACCTGGATATCCACAGAGCAGAAGAAGTTCCTTTGGTGCACTCCCGAGAAAGCACCTTAGCCCATCACCAATTTCTGATAGAAGAGGTTCACGTCAGAGCCTGCCTCCTGTCCCCATCCGTAAGTCCACATCCTAGACCCAGTATGGCCCAAGAAGAACATTCCGCTGACATGCATTAGGACTCAACTATGCTCGAAGATATCTCCCCGTTTTGGCTGCAATCATTCTATCAGAACTTGTAAAGCCTGGCGACATGGTTGAAGTTCCACTCCCGCATCCCCGTGCCTGGGAGGATACCGTCGCATATGTGTACATTGGGTGGAATGCACTTACGGAGCCCATCAAACAGAACATCTTGTATCTTGGTGGCTCGATCTGGGACAGAAAACACTGAAACATAAGAAAGCATTGTAAATGACGACTAGCAAAGGACTGGGTTATGGTGTGGGGAGTTCTAAAATGTTTTCTTCTTCTTCTTTTCTTTTAATAATTCTTGAGTAGCTAGCGATTTGAACAGGCGTCTTGATTCTGGGTTCCTATAATACTGGTACTTGTTGATGATTGCAAGAACTGGGACCTTATCTGTAATGCTCAACATCATACATCCTGAGCCCCATCGCCTGACACTGAACAAGACATACCAAGCGATCTTAACCGGGCAGTCCTGGAAGTCGATCGAGTGCCCAACGAAGGTTGTAACAACTCAACTTCGGTTACAGTAGTAGAGTTCAAGTCAGCTGAATAAGGCAATGTGTTGAAGTTCATCAATGGACCTAGCAACGGTAGTGAGGAACATGATCCCCAGTTCAACAGCTCTAATCTGTGTTCATGGGATCGATCACTGTGACCTTCGTACTTGAACTTCATCTGAACTATCTCTAATTCTCAGTAAGCCAACGAAACGACAACGTTAAGAAGGTAGGCACATTGAGGAGGTCGGCGTAATGGTCTCGGGGTTACCATATGTAGCCGTTGAACTATCCTCAACATTAGCTATAGCACAGTCTGGATGAACATTGTTAACCATCTTGTTGTTTGCAAAACAGCTTTGTCGGTCAAATCCAATACCTATCACTCATCGTTGATAGGCAGCTACAGGAGCTTGTTGCCGAAGCATAGGCAGAGAGTTGACAAGTAGTTGTTGACTCCCAGGTAACGACAAGCAGATCAAACTCATCCAGAACCCATCCGTCTCTCATGATACTGATAGTTGGGCTGCATTGACTGATTCGTTCCCCAGCAGAGACCCTTCTAGCATACGACATGTTGGATGTCACTGTTTTACTTCTGGATTCATGTATGATTGTCAAGGTACGTTGTTCATAGCGATTGCATCGTGTTATATTGGAACAACAAGAAAGCCCGAACTAATGGGACTCAATATAGCTTCAAAACTGGGAGACTTGAAGAATAGCTAGACCTCTAGATCGGTATCGTTCGTGTTCTTTGTGGTCACTGACGTCCCAAGGCTGCTTAGGAGGGCAGTCACCTTGCTGGCCCAGCCATCAGACAAAATTATCCAGAATGCATCATTAACATGAAATTGACTTCTAGCTACAAATTTCCATATCGAGAGTTTCAAACATGAGGGCCAACTAGGTCTCTTGGTGTAAGTCCTACCACTTCAGTCGAGGACTGAGGTTATAGATGGATCGAAATTTGTCCTTTGATTGGACACTGGCTTCTGACTTGGTGTGCTTACATGCATGCATATGTATTCATGAAACCATAAATCACTTTCAATATACGAAGGGGTCAGATGGTTCAGAGATACAACCAACTCAGAGTTACACCGACCCAGCGTATTCCAAGTCGCTACTCGTATTCTTACGAAAACCCGGTCATATCAAATCATACCATGCTATCAAACTTACGGCAATGGTTGTCCGTTTGTTTACAAACTGAGGCCTCGGTACGACCAGGTCCGAGGCTCAACGGACCATCGTCGTATTAGTCTTATTAGATCCGGCCCCGATTGATGGATATAACAGTCTTGGCACGATGCTCTTCAGACACACCTTATTCATAAGGCGTCATTGATCTCTAAAATGTTCGATGCATCTGAGTCCGATTGACATGTGCCAACCTGGGCTGTGCATGGGTCACATCACACGATGTGTCCACAAGATCACTGACAAAAGATCAAGGCGTTGACATCTCGGGCTAGCATCAGGGTGGTGGCTCAGGAAAGAAGCCAGTTCCTGTCCTGCCACTTGTTAGATGTCTACCATGGTCCCCTCCCCCACAGGTGTTCACGATGTTGCCGACACGAACATCCCGATATCCCATCTTCGGTTGGTGAGGTCGGTTGGTGGAGAAAGACGGCGCGACGCAAGCATGGCCTGCAGGATGCACGCTCGGACGTCCATGTATGTTATGGACACACCTGGAGCACGGCTTAGTGACTTGACAGGGGACTCGAGGCACTAAAATCTATCGCGTCTAGGTTCTTCAGGTAGCGCAGCAGCATCAGAATTGTTGAACAGTCGATTCTGAGACAACAACCTGCACGTTTGAGAGATCAAAGCAAAGCAGTGAGACATTGCGTTAGCAGTCTCTGTGCCGTAGACCTACTTAACTACGACAATCAGACCTCTGGTATCCGGAGGTCATAACAACCGAGCAACAAACAGGTGCTTTTCTAGGCGAAACATAGAGTTGTGTAGAAATGGACCGGCCCGGCGGCTATTGCGGCTTTGTCCCAAGTTGAAGCGGAGTTCCGAAAGTGGGCGATGGCCACCGATGCTAAGCCGTCGTCGTCGCACTTTTAGGACGGGATGTTGCTAAACCGGTGCATCTGCGGGCGTGAGTAATTTGTTGTACGTAGGTAGTTTCAAAGACCCTGTTGTAGCCAGGAAACCCATATGAGGTACTCCGTAATTGTGAGAAGACCAGTACCCATCTCTATCGATCGATCAAGTGCATGTTGATAAGCAGAAGCAGAAGTAATAGTACCGCATAGTATGACTTGCATCGCTGTAGAATGCCTTTGCTTTTGATGTCTCTTTTTGTTTCATCATTGTACAACGACTCAACGAGCCTACAGGCTGAATCTACTGCAGATGGGTGGAAGGGTCTCTGTGCTACATTTCCTCCGGGAGAGTACGGAATCTGCAGCGATTCTTGGCTTTCGCGTTGGTGTGCCTGAGAAAACGTCAGGGTTCCCTCCATCATGAGATGAACATGCATGGGCATGGGTATGTAGACATTTTGGCGATGCGACGCCTCCGGCCGATAGCGAGCTGCAGCTAAACATTTGGGGGGGGGGGGATAGAGATCCTTGGTTGCAGGGCCAGCGACTAGATAATATTAGTGGACGCTGCAGAGGTAGGTGCATGTACCGTGGATGTACCGTACAACGCAAGACAGGTTAACGGGCGATGAGCGAACGGACTTGTCGATCTTAGAGGTGCAATGGACAGTTGATAATCGCTGGACGCCATGTTGGCCGGGGTCTTCCCGTTATTGCGCCATCGTTTGGTGATGAGGGGATATCTGTAGGACTAGAGATGGAGAAGATGGAGAAAAGACGGGAGGGAAGAGAAGGATCCAGATAATCTTGGGCAGGTACAGTAGAGTACATACGTAACTCACCTGAAAAGATCACGATGATTCGTCCTCCGTGGCTCCTTCCCAAGATAACTTGAGGTAGAGGAAGGTAGGTGCATGTACCGTGTCTGCTGGATGGTGGTTACCTTATCTAGATCCCGCTCGGTACAGTAAGCTACAAGATCTCAAGTTGCCTCATCAGGTAATCCATCCAGGATAGAAGCTTTGACCATTGCTTCTTCTTGAGATGCCAACCTCGATTTGGCATCTGAACTTTCGTTTATCGTGTCTTTACAAATCCTCTAACTATGTGATCCTTCTACAGTAGGTACCCGGTGATAGTCCGTCTAGGTTATTGATGTCGATTAGATAGAGGGTTGGAGCACAGAATCACTCCAACACGGCATTGGAGCCAAGCCAAGCCTCATGTCGTTTCTAGTGATCGACATCTACATGTCTCACTCTGGAAGACGTTTCTACTTGGCAAAGCTCATACGATTGCAAAACATCACCAACACTCAATGCAACTCTAAGTACGTTGCAGTTTTCTATCAAACCTACATTCTAGACTGAGTACTCACCTCAACCCTGTCCTACCTAACCTAGCTGTCCTTGATCAAACATTCAACTGAACCAACTGTGCCATCCCTGTTATTGCCGATTGAAGTCCGAGCTTTGGACCCACGGCGATATCTTGTCGAAAGAGGGGAAATGGGGCATTTGCAAGGGTCCCAACTCATCAACTTGTCACAATACAGCAGGTACAACGGCGGCTCGCCGAACCAGATCTGGGTACTGCACACACAAATATCGATAACCCAGTGACTTTGCCGATATGTGGCTATCCGTGTCATCTCGTGGGGCTATCGGCCTTATGAGCGTTGAGAGAAGGTCATGCCAATCTCTGGAGTAAACCTCCGGCGAAAATGAGATTGGCCCTGCTGGTTCAGGATCTGCAAAAGGGTATTCTCGGAGGATTTACAACCAGGGACCTGCGTCTAACGTGATGCGATGCAAAGAAGAAGAATCAAGATTGTGGGGATTCTTTGCAACCTTTGACCAAGGTTTGACACCAGCAGGGTCGGTCCTTTGCTGTCCCTGATGGATCTTGAAATCAGAACATCGTCACAGGTCTCCCGCTGTGGATATCTGCTAGGCTGTGCTTTTTTTGTGGTTGTCAACAGAGAGCTGTTCAGCTTCACGTGTCCAGCCATGATATCTGACATTAGCAACCCGTGCCAGTAACGGCCAAGGCCGATACTCTACCTATCGATGTACCTTATCAACAGCGGGCTATATCGTTACTCAATTCGAGTTGAGGCGGTCCAATAACGGTCATATGCCGGCAGCACACAGGAAAAGCAGAGCCCCAAAGGCCCGCAAAAGCCGGACAAGAACCAACACAGTTGCAAGGTCAAGTAGTGAATTGCAACAATATGTCACTATCAAAGCAGTCGTAATTTACCATGCACAAGAGGTTGCATGCAATACGATACAACGTAGGCGCCCGTCAGCTCCACTGCCTTTTCCTTTTCAGGTGCTTGCCTGTGCATGTGCAGAAACAGCAAGAAACCAAGTCCTGTTGCTGAAGTTCTGAACTGACAAGAACCAGTCGCATCAGAGAACCTAGGGTCCATACCCTGGCTCACACCCCCAGACTCAGCTAACCTCAGGATTATCTAGGTACAGTACCTTGCGTCGTCTGTCTCACATCATGATATCTAACTCAAGTGGATAGAGAGAAAAACCCCGCGCAAGAGAGGCTATAATCATATCAAAGCAGGCCAAGTTGCAGGCGATCGCTGTCCACAAATGCTTAGCCTGACTAGCAACCCTGGTTTTCTTCTTGGCGTTTATTCAACACTTGTCCTCCAGTCAAAGTCATCGGACCCCTCCCCCTCTAGGCGAGCTCATTACGTTTCTGTTCTGCCTTATTCCATTGGGTTGCTCATCTGATGTTGATTCGCAGTCATCAAGATTTGGAACTGTAACACGCGACCCATCTTGCTCCTGTCAGAAAACTCATCAAACTGCTTCAGAGATTGCCATCGTGAATGGTGAACTATCTTGGTTCGGCCGACGAGGAGGGGGGAGCGGAGCACAAAATGCGACGACTGCGGGGGTCTTACAGGGCTTGTCTTGTCCAACGAAACTCCCCTGTCTTCCCTGTCTCTGCAGCTCATCGCGAATTGAGTCCCGCTGGAGATGCAACGGTGATCAGGGAAGACAGGCCTGGAAATGACACGAAAGTGGTACCAAAGTAGCCTCAATGCCACCTGCTACGACTCGCGTTGTCTGGCTGGTGAGCTGCACTACCTAACAGGGCAGGACCCTGGATATCGCAAAGCCTCATCTGTGCACCAAAACTGTCATTGTTGTTTTTCTGACTTTGTGGCTATCGCCGATATCGATCCTCCGGCACTCGTTTTGGGGGTGACAGTACGTTAGCATGCGACATTGCAGAATTTGCTTTGGTCTGACAGGCTCGAGAAAAATCAAGGTCGCATCCAACAAGACCAAGACCAAGACCAGACCTGCAAAGCATCTGAGCTGTCGTACCACGAAACTAATGGTATTTGTGGGGTGTTGTTGTGATGTGGATCTACAGTGCCAACCCATAATCCATCCTTCAGTCTTCTTTAGGTATGGCTGTCATCACTAACCTTGGAGCTAAGTTAGTGTCAACGACACCATCTTGATCATGTATCTATGTATTCTCCAACTAACGGGTTTGTTGTTTTTCGATGTGGGTATATGCAGTATCTGCATCATTGTCCCCGCGAACTCATCACAGTCAGAAAGAAACAGCCAAGGCAGAGTAATTGTAGGTTGAGGAGCTTGAAAACTCCAGATGTTTGAATTATCACTATCACATGCCTCAAAGCTTTGTATACCCTTTGTGAACCTCGCACACCACGTAGAAATGCCTCCATCCGTAATCCAATCCCATATAATCCCAAATTGTTACAAAATAAACAGAGAAATGATGACCTCAGCTCGGGCTCCGTCAGCAAGTCGAGTTGAAGCTAGTATCATGATAGCCTCGACTGCTTTATGCCCACCAAAGTTATTTGGTCCAGCAAAGCTCGCTGTTCAGGTTACCACATGTCTTTCATCTGCTCTGGAAATATCTCAATCCATAAGCAGGTGACATTCTGAACCTCGTCAGCGGCCGTCGACTGGAAAAGCGTCTCCATCGTTCCTCTCAAAAATAGAAGCAAGAACTTTTTCCATTCCATGTCCCCAATCCGTCCGTCCCTCTTTTTTTGGTGGTGGCTTTGGTGTGGTGTGAAAGAAGTAATGAAAGAGAATAAGCGGGAAGAGTTTCGTGTTTTTCTCGACCTCTTTTGGTCTTGGACAATTAACTTCCCATGTGAAAAATGAAAACGTTACTCATGGCCTCATCAAAATCGTTTCGTTGCCAGGTCAGATTGCCCAACAGTGTCCGCTGATCGAAGTTTCGTTCGCATACAGCTTCGAGTCTGGCGTTGTTGCCATTGGTGTGTGCACCCGTATTGGTACATACGATGTGCTTGAATCGTAGGCGGCATAGTCGCTCTTCTCCCATGCGCCTTGTTGTCCTTGCGGTTGTCGTCCCTTCTGGCGAGCATTGTAGCGAATAAGCGAGCCCTTTCCAGGAGGAGTCTTCAAGACAATTGAAGGTTGGGGAGCGGGAGCCAGTCGCTGCTCATCGTTGGCATCACCATCTGCTCGGCTACCCCATGAAGTCATGTTCAGAGTGATAAGAGCATAGAGCTTGATCAATCCGTGGAAGTATCCAAATACGACAGAAACAGGCAAGAACAGAATATCGCTGGGGTTTCGAATGAACAAACCCATCAGCTTGACCACCTTAGTAAAGGCGAACATAAAGACAAACTGGGACCAGAAAGCGTATCGGCGGTTCTGCATATCCCAGTCTGCGGTTCCCCACCAGACTGAAGCGAGGAGAAGCGGATCAACAAGGAAGGCCAGCGAAGTGAAAGTCGCGAAATGCAGGGCGTATGTGCACCACAATTGTTGCCTGTTTTTTTGTTAGAGACTTTTTTAATCGCGTCTTGGATATCAGATTTACTCACTTCCAGATATAGCGCTCAGTAACCATACTGGTCCAGTTGCTTCGCCAGTTGCTTCGTGCCCATCGAGAGCATTGGTACAGAAACTTAGTGCTGTTCTCCAATGTTGTCTCAATCTCGCACTCCTTCTCATACTGAATCCATGTCTTCCACTGGTGGCTCACTAGCCAACGAGTCACAAAGTTGTCGTCGTCAGCATTCAAAATCCACTTTCTCCACTTCTCGTTCTTGAAGCCGTGAAGAAAGTCGTGGCTGGAGAGAATTTCAGAGCGGTAGGCGCCGGTACGACCAGACATGCAAGAAGTACCACCGTCGATGTTGTGTGTGGCCGAGATCTCAAAGTTGCGACGCTCGATGTAGGCAGCACCCAACCAGTTCCAAGCTTTGGTTGACCAGGAACCGTCGTGCTCTCGTCGAACTCGCTGGCAAGTTCCAACACCACCGATTTCAGGGTCTTCGAACGGGGCCAAGATCCAAGGCATAAGGGTAGAGGGCCAGGTCACATCGTCGTCCGCCATGATGGTGATGGGGGTCTCGACCTTGGGAAGGGCCTCGCACACTTGAAGGCGCTTGTTTGCGATGGGGGTGTCTAGAACGCGGACCTTAGGGAAAACTAGGGAGTCGGCCAACTTTTGCAGCTCCTTTCGCTTATCATGCGTTGTGACCAGGATCAGCTCGGCTGGCTCACAGGCCAGGATACTCTCTAGAGAAGGACGAAGCTCCTCAAAAGCATTGTGGATGGTAGGGATGACAACAGTCACGTCCTTGCTAGTAAATGTTGGTTTGGCAGGAATAGGCTTTGACTTGTATGTCCAGTGGCTAACGCAGTGGACTAGGAGACGGAGATAGCGGTGGACCCTGAGATATTGTTAGATTCGGTTGGCAATGAAGTGCTTTAATAGTCTGCAATAACAGATGGATAGACTCCAGACGAGCCTCATTGCCAGAAAACTGCTAATGAGGTGTGTCATAGTAACTTACCAGAGACCCAAAAACAGGTACAGCCAGAAGGAGCTCGAATACCAAAAGTTGAAAGAAGGCATCGAGAGCGTTAATGGCCCAGCAAAACCAAGAGGGCTTCGCCCAAGGCTTTGATAATCTGATTCAGACATATTGATGCCGTGAGTGTGTTGTGAAATCCGATAGAGTTGTCGTGTAAGTGACTGGTGTTGGTTTGCTCTTAGAGCAAGGAGGAGTTTTTGTGATATAAACGGCTATTGACGGATACCAAACAGCGAATGTATATGTCCGAAAGAACCAGTGCGAGAAGGTGTTTATAAGTGATTTCGGGTGTAACAAGAGATTTGATCTTGTACTCTCTGGAATTGACAGTGGTTGACCGTCCAAGATGATTGGGGTGAGGTGGGAAGTGAATCAAAGACGCTGGAAGTACCAAAGCAAAAACACTATGCACCAGAGACACAGTCGCACCTTCGTAAGATTCGAGGTAGCGGACGTATAATATACAATGACGGGAAAGGGAACTATTCAAAGAGGGCCATGACAAGAGGAATTGGCCGATGGAAGAAGAGCGAGGAGGAAAAGAGGTAGTGGCAATGATAACAGCCTGGGGTGAAGATGGGGAACGGGTCTACGATATATACCTATGCCAAACCCCGTCTCCAAAACGGACTATGCATGAACATGGAGTAGAGAGGGTCCTTGATGAGGCCGTGGGCCATCGTAGTGTGTACCTAGTTGTGGTGGCACTGGTAGGGCGGCAACTACGTAGAGACAAGCGCGCAAGTCTGTCGAGATTTGATCTTGGTCTGGACAATGGAGGACAAGACGGCAGGGGTGTATTGGGTCCTGCGCTCACTGCATTAGGACCGGTGGAGCGAGGGGTTGGATGATTTGGAGGGTTGGAGGGCCCATGTATGGCGGCGGCGGCGGCTCGACTTGGGGGGATAAGAGGGCACAACGATGTAGCTAATTAGTAGCGCGAATGGGATTGGAGGAGGGGGTGTACTAAGATCACACAAGAGACTGGCGCGCGTTATTTGAGAGGCGTTGTTGCTGAGATCAGTTGAGTCCCGTTTCCGTTGGACGCCGACCCCGGCCGCGTTACTACCGAGACCGGTACAGATTTGATTTTCTCTTTTCTCGTTGTTCAGTTGTTGCTACTGCAAGTTGTCGAGAAATACTGGAGCGTGCTCGCAAGCGGGGAGAACAGCGACTGCGTCCAGTATGGTGCAGCGACAGGGTATGGGGGCGCAGGCTCGCAAGCGTGGAGTCGTCTTTAGCACCTTTAGCTAGGTAGCTCAGTGCCTTGGCCTGAAAACTCCAGCATGTCCGTTCACTACTCCAGGACCCTATCGTCGTGGCGCCGATTCCTGGGCTGGCGCATGAGGGTCACGTCTCGTGCCCAGTGACAGCCCATGTCAAAGCCCTGATAGCCCTTGGCCAGTGCTGCTCGGCCCGCGGCGCACATCATGGTCCTGGTCGTTGTCGTTTCGTTATTTTGCCTCTGGGGTTCATATTAAGCAGCAGGGTTCACACAAAACCTCGATGGCGTCGATGACTAGTCGGGAGAAAAGACATGGGACCTTGCTCGTGTTTAGCATGTGGATCCCATTACCTTGTACTGGCGCGAGCGAGTACAGCAAAGTAGAGTCCAAAGTCAAGCCAAGACAAAACGAGACAACCATTCAGCACAGCATAGCATAGCATAGCATTGCATTGCATTGGCTTGGTGAGGATCTGGTAGGGAGTGGGTTAACAGCTTGAAAGAGGCTTGAATACACAACTAGGACTTGTCGAAAATGCTGTATGTAGGGACTTTGCAAGCTGCAACATAGCATAGCATAGCATAGTCCGTACATCCATTAGCCGCTCATCTTTTGGTGAGACAAGCATGCCTGTCGTATCAGAATCAAGAGGTGGTGTTTTGCGTCTTGCGTCTTGCATCTTGCATTCGCATTCAAGCTTCAAGGTGAACCCTGTGGAATGCAGCAGTTGCGCAAATAAAGTATTGTTGCTATTGTTTCTGCTCCCGATCCTGATCCTGATGCTGATTGTGCAGATGCGAGAGGCTGGATACAGTCCCGTATGTATGTCTTATGTCTTTCGACATTGCATGTCGACAGATGGGGAGAAACTCACGAACCCATTGTCCAACCAGAAGCTGCGAACGGCAAAGACCATTGACGAGTGAGCTATCCGGCAGGTATAATAATATCCTGGGACACGCAATGTAAATTGGGTCCTAGGATGCAGGAACTGGGCCCCGATGCATGCCAATTGCTGGTCCAATGACGGAGATGTGTAAGTGTGCGATGCAATGAACAAGATGCAGTGCAGCATGTAGAGGTAGACAGGATCCAATGAAAGAAACAATATCACATTGGATGGTGGCTGCAGCAAGTGATACGCAATTGACTCCTTCCTTCCTGTTCACGATATAGAGTAGAGATTTCATTCTGTCTATCGCACTCGCACCTGCCCAAGTTCCTTTAATCCCAGAAAGGTAGGAACCTTGGCATGCTGCTAGGTTACTCCTGCCAGTTGAAGACAAGGAATCTAGTTGGTCGGACCGGAGGTAAAATGGTAGGTGCAGATAACCTCAAATCCGAGGTCCCTGCCTCGTTAATGCTAGCTTAGTTGTCGACGCAAGAGTGGGGAAACCCGCTGCTATATGCTACTGCTGCTGTGCCTACAACCCATACTTTACCTACCTGGGCAGTACCTGCCTGTACACTCACGCCAATCTGTAGCAGGTTGACGTTTCGTGGCTTCATCGCTTTTAGCTGCGTACTAACCTTTCCTCTTAATAACACTAAATCCAAATATGTCACCCTATTCCCTTGCTACAATCACTTACTGTCGCAATCTGACAACCACGAAAGTCCGCTTTATTACGAATCCCTCTCGCTTCCTCTCCAACACGAACCTCCACATTAACCACCGGAACATGGATATCTTTCTCCGAGAGCAACAAAACAATTTGAGGTGCAGAAGCAGAAATCTCCGTGCCTTATCCACGCAGGACTATTCAACAGAGCACAGCAGAAGCAAAAAAGGTAGAGTACAGTCTGGTACTTTGATAAGTGGCCAAAGAAAATGCATCATCACATCACGTCGCATTGTCTGTCTCGCCAATGCTATTGAGATTGGAAATGCTCCGCCCATAGACAGCTGCCGCGTTGCCTTGCTTCCTCCAATGATACTCGCATTTGCAGTACAGGAACAGCGGCCGATTACACACGGAGGGAGACCGGCCTGGAGAAGGTAACCAGCAAGCGGACACTGCAAACCGCAGATCGTCCAACACGGCAGCTAAACAAAAGCAGACCAGGGTTGCAGTATTGCGGATCCTCTTCGGCTTCGGCTGGTTGATGAGATTTACATATTATTGAAAGACTCCGAAAGAGAACATGCAGCATCTCCGCCAGCCCTGGTCTCTTCCACTCACGGACGGTTGTGTTACCTGCGCTGCGTGCCTGTGTCGACCAGCAGCCTTAGAGCGTTATGGTGCACGGTTCAGCGCACCAAAACCGATGATCCGTGTCCACCACAGGTGACTTAGCTTCTCAGGTCCTACAGCTTCTGCTAAGATACTGAGTTGTGGATGGAATATGACAGATGTCGCTGTTTGGGTGGCTTTGGGCCATATGCGATATCACGGCATTCACCAAACATGCAACTTTGCTTTGTTTCTCCTCGCTCCCCCGGAGTGGAAGCACAGGCCGCTCTTGGCTGCTCAATCAATCCCTGTTCATTGATTGACATTGACTTGCTGAACATCGGATCTTAGATTGGACCCCTCATATGAAGAGCCTTCATATGCAGTTGGTTCTCACTGGAGTCGCTGCACCTTGTTGATTAAGGATTTTGAGCATAGACAAGTCCTGAATGATCGGAGATGGCAACTAAAGCCGTTTGAGTCACACCATACCTGGATCTGTCACGGCTACATGATGCTCAACTTCAAAACCCACATGGGCTGTTGTTGGTTTTTCCTCGAGACAGGCACCACAAGGGTCTTTCGTGTAGTCTCATGTAGCACAGCCAAGACGGAGCCACAATCTTTAGGGCCAAATGAACATCATCGGCCCCGGCCAGAAGAGGGAACTTCGGACATGAAGCAAGCAGACTGCTCAAACACCATGCAAAAATAGCTCAGCTGCAATGGACGTACAGTACAGTACGTACTGATCAAATCGATTTGTCTAGCGGCATGTCAGTGATGGTCCGCTCCAATTGGCGCAACGATATCAATCTTACAGCGTCCTAAGTTAGTGCTTGTTTGGTTTACTGATCGATGATGAGCCGCAAGATGACCCATCCATCTTTTCTCACGAGAGTTAGTGGTTGTTTTCTCATCTGCACTGCCTGTCCTGTCCTTGACTTAACCATCCCCACCGTCAGCGGATTGGTACTCTGCTGTAACAGTTGCTGAGTCGACACTGATCAAGCAGAAGGCTCGCCAGCTCCCGAGCCCTTGCCGAAAGCGATCTAGGCTCTCAGAGACTGGCGCGTGCGCTACAGCATGGTGGGTATTTCTTCACACGTCTGCCCTGTCAGGATCCTTCAATCAACACCTAGTTATCAGCCAGCATCTGTTGGTCCAAGGCCGAGTCAAGTTCAACGCGGCGCAACGCAGCTCGACATTTTCGGCAACAGTTATCGTCCTGCAGACTACTGCAGAGCATCGGCCGTATTGTTTTTCTGGTTGGTTGGAGTAGGTCTCAAATTTGACTTGGCTATCTTTCAGTCTCAGCAACTCTACTGGTCTGAAGACATACAGTACCGTTACATAGAACTTTGAGACATCGGATAACTGTCACGCATTCTGCAGCTGTTTACAGAACGGTGCTTTTGCTTCTGCTGATATCTAAAGGGTGCTTCCTTGATACTCGACCTCGAATAGTATTTGAGACTACCTACCATTATCTGCAACATCGCAGGTAACACAGGTGATAATATTTCATTCAATCCAGTTTGGACCACTGTGGGTCAGTCCTTTTGTTTATTTTTCAAGACATGACAGGCCAGGCCCAGGGCCTTCGGAGGGAGTCTGCCCATCAAATTCAAGAGACCACAGGGGATCCCCACTGCACCCTGATCCTGATGCTGCTCGTTTACTGCTCAAACCTCTCACATTTGCACCTCG